GCCCGAAGCTGCTCCCCTGTGTGCTTCTGTGGGAATAAGGTGGGCGGGCGTCCAGCCCAGCTGCTGTGCTCCTGCCCCATGAATCTGTGTCAAGCCATGTAGACAGGTAGCATTTGCAAAATACTGTAGAGGAACAAAGATATCCCCCAAGGTATTATGGGGTAGACAGAACTTGGCTCAACCAGCAGCTTGCTTTGTGTGATTAAAATGCAACATTAAGATGGTTCAATTGTGTGGCTTAACGATTACCAATGATTTTGAGGCTTTTCTTTAATAAAGTGAGGTTTTGACTATTATTTTGGAACAAAGATAGTGTTCATCTTTTCTCAGATTAAGACTGTTTTGTAAAATCCTTGTGGTTTAGTTACATGTGCCCTTATTCACCCACGAGGTTATTTGTGACTGTGCACTGGCTCCTGCTCTGGCCATTTGCTATTGGCTGACGATAATGAACATTTGTTTAAATGCTTTTGACTGTGCTGTTAACTGCTGCATCTGCATACTCCAAAGATCTTTTTGTTTTGGCTTTAGTGGTTTTTTTCTGTATCATGAAAGCTGTATGTGGTCATGTTTATTTCAAGTTTTGTATACATTGCTGTTTTCGCTGCTCTCAGTTCCAGCGATCTCATCTTTGGGTGTAACGTGCTGTTTCTCACGCTGCCCCTCTGCCCTTGGCCTGCAGAGCTGGATGAGCTGTCCCTGTCGACCATTTGATGCTGTTGTAGTGTGGCAGGGACTATGATGTTGGATTTAGATTCTTCCTGGGATTGTAAAGCTATGAATGTATTTGCCACCAGAACCTCCCAAAGTGAATCTACTCTTAAAACTCTAAGTTGTAAGTATTTTGAAACTGGGAAATATTTATTTTAAACGAACTCATGTAGTGTTGCTTTTTACAGCATAATAAATACATGTATCAAAAAACCAAAACCTGTGACAATGAAATTTTTGAAAAACAGCTAAGGTTCTCTCTCACATCATGGGGCTGGGAACTGCACTGAGCATGGGGCTGTGTTCAGCTGGCTCAGATCCACTTCTAATGCCTACTGTGAGCCAGGCACCACGCAAGGTGTCAGGTGTGGCTACCACAGTGATTCAGATGAGAATCCTGTGTGTTTCCTTGAATCCTTGAAGGTGAGAGGATGGGCAGGGAGGTGCTCCCCTAACAAGCTGACACTATCCCTTCACAGTTAGGAAGCACTCAGTACATATCGGTTGAATTGAATCATTACACATTTCCTTTGCTAGGAATGTTCTACAACCTCCTTTAAAGAGTAGAGCGGTCCTTTCCACAAAGCCTTGACATCTGTTTAGGGGGCTGAACCTACTGCTGCCACACTTGGGTCTGGGTAGGACCAGCTGGCACGCAGCAGCCCCAGACTGGTTCACGGGTGTGGGAGTGGCATTTGCTTCCAACACGCAAAACCCCTGGTCCCCAAGTTTAGGGTCAGGGTCTGGTGTTCTCACCACAGAGAAGGTACACGAACACCACAGCTGTCCAGTTTCAACTACCAAAACTATTTGTCACAAAGTAATTTGCTTTGTTGTAGCAAACAGTGTTCATCTCTCTGCACTGCTGACATTTTAGAACTGAGACATCAGAAATTCTGAATCGAATCCAGTTCTTTCACAGATGAGTGGGCTGTAGTACGAACTCAGTCCCACGTCCTTTCCTTCCACCCTACCACGCAGTACACACTATGGATAGAATATCCTGACATCTGCATATTAGCTCAAGTCTTGTCTCTGTGTCGTTTTAAGGAGAAGCATAAATGCTACACTGTTAAGTCTTGCAAGTAGTCAGCTTGAGCTACGCATATGAAGAAGCTCAGAGAAAAGCCTGACATCGATGCAGGGGAACCGCATGGATGAGTAATCCCAAATAGTGAAAAACTGAATTATACATGTTCGTGATATAACATGACTGTTTTATCTTTGTGGGATTTGGAGGTGGGGGGAGCTGGGGTAATCATCCTAATGTCACCTGCTAACCCTCATAATAAAATGAGTAAATCTGTAAATCATAGACCAGGTGGTACAGGAAATTACCCCATGAATGTGTCAGGTGGTGTTTAAAACAAAGGCTTTGGAGGGAAAGTATATTTTATAGTTGTACATGGAAAGGCTGTGATTTACTAGAAGACCAGGGAAGATATGTGTGTTTTCAGATGAGAAGGATTAGAAATTGCCAGTTATTAAAAAGGGGCAAGGATTTGGTCTTTTGTTTCTATTCTGGATCCTGAACCTGACCCCAGGCCTCCATGAGCCCTGGACTTGCCCCTTGCTGCCTCTCCAAATGGTCATTGGAAAGTCCACTAGGAAGTGAGTCCAACAAGAAGTCATAGTAGCAAAAGAATATCAAGACTACTTCATTCTGGTACAAGAAATGGGGAAGGGCTGTAAACAGACACAAACACCAGGATATTAGGGTGTTATAACAGCATTAAGAAATACAGAATTTACAGTATGATAATAGGTATTTGACAGCTTTCTGTCAAAGGTACCTTTTAGGTACATTTATAAATTCTTTGCTGAATATGAACTTAAAACATAAGTCTAAAACTGTTTTAAGTATGGTTCTTTTCTCCAACTGGTCATATTAGATGTTTCATTGCTCAGTATGAGAAACATAACCTGAAGTTAACTCACCAGAACTTTGAAGCGGAATCTTAAGTCAGTTTCATTTAAAAGCTATATGAACTCATCTTAGAAGGTTCTAAAAAATCTTATCTTTAGCCCTCCTAAAACTGCTTTAAATGCCAATTCTTTGAAATTGTATATATTTTATATAATATTTAAAGTATGGTTGCTTTTGGCTATATGTTTGCTTCACAAAATCATTCTTAATTAAAAGAAAATTTTTTAATCTCACTCAAGAACATTTTTTATTGCTTTTTAGAAAAAAGTGGGGTGAGGAAGGGAGAGAGAAGGGTCAGTTAGGCAGCCGTCTCCCACACTCACCCGGACTGGGGGTCAAGCTCACAATGTAGGTCGGTGCCCTGGCCAGGAATCAGACCCACAACCCTTCTGGGATGATGCTCCAACCAACTGGGCCACTCTGGCCAAGAGCTCTTAAGTTTTAATAAGTAAGATGACTGTACTAGAACATATGATCCAGTATCTCAGAACCTCCTAAAATTCCACAGAACCAGAGACCTTCCTCTGGTTTTGTTTACCCACATTTCCCAAACATCTAATATAGTGCTTCGCTCATTGCAGGTACTCAGTATATATTTGATAAACTAATAAATGAATGAATAGCCAAAAGAAGCCATTCAAGTAAATTACCCTTTACTTTGGGAACAGCATCTCAGTTCAAACCAGAGTTTTCAAAACAATTTCTAGCTTTTCCTTGTGACAGTCAAATGTGAAAGAAGTGCTTTGCTCTCTAAGACTTAATATTCCACTTTAGCTTACAGTCAGTAAACAGATTTTGCTCATTTAATGCCAGATAAATGACTTTAGCAAAATCTATTTATTGCCATCTCAGATAACACGCTTTCCTTAGTAAGGAGAAATTTCTCCCAAGTATTACACATATAAGCTCTATGTTTATTAAACACCCCACAGACTCCACACCAGAAACAGTCTTAATACATCCCTAAGTCAGGATCTTAGTGACTTCTTACAACGATCAGTTATATCAGAATACAAACTTATACTAGCTACACAGGGCATTATCTTCTTTACTCCCTGGAGAAAAATAGCTCTAAATGTCCCTTATGAAGAAACGCTGTATTTCTGAGATGTAAGTACTACAGATATGGAGATGAGAATATTTGTTATGCCAGAATTCAAGCTTATTCAAGGCTTCATCACACCACTATTCCCTGAGAACTCTTCACACAATAGTTAAGTCTAACCTGCCAGATTTATGTCTAACTTGGTGATTGTCTTTTCTTTCACTATTTTTTCCCCCAGCACATGGTGTCTTTATTTTAAGAAGGTCATGGCTTTCTAGCTTATAACAGCTTTGGAGAAAAATGGCTCCTTTCCACATGATAACTTCCCAGTAATAACTCACCTAGTCATGGAGGAATGGGTTTCAGATGGCTGCTTTGGAGACAAGGCAGCATCCCATTTTACATATATTTTAAAATTAAAAACATATTAGCAGTACTGAAATTTATTTTAAAATAGGAACCAGATTATTTGTGTATTTGGAGGCAGCTGTGGTCACCAAAGCAAAAATACTTTTTTTCAGTTGCTTTCTGCGGCACCCATTACAGCTTGTTCTAATATTGTTTCCTCTCTGACCTCTCCCGCTATCTTCATGTGCCATAGCAATTCTGATTACAAACAAGGCAAGAAAGAACAACACTTTAAAAAAATGGCATTATCAACTGTATTTGAAAGTAAGGACTGATATATTTTTCTGTTTAATCATAAGTTTAAAAAATAAGAAAACACCAAACCTACACATAATGCCAGTAACTTTTCAAACCTTTACACCAAATGCTATTAATAAAAGACTAACACTAGCATTTTAACACTTCTGGAAAGTAGACAAAGTCTCTCGGCCAGTGCAGTACAATGAAACCATGCCAAGTCATTCTCACAGGACAAAAAAATGCCAAATGGTTAAACACCAGCAATTAGAAACAATATTTTGTTAATGTCTTTCTTTCTTCATCAGTTCAATAAGTCAATGCAAACCCAGCCAGGCTTATGTCATTTTATATAAGAACTGGGAGGCAGCCTTAATTTGTGTTCAGGAAAAGTACCATGGTGCATATTATATCAAGTGCAATACATGTACTTTAGCTTTAATTTCAGAATAGACAAAAATAAAACTTTACCCCCACCAGAAAAATACACATTCACACGGTGACAGTGGGACTCTGAGACGCGGCCACAAAGGCGGTGGTGCGTGCACAGGGTCTGGAAGAACCGTGACAGACCCGCCCCCAACACCACTAGGAGGGAAGAAGGTACATAACAGAGCACACTTCACAAATACCGTTCAATCAAAAAGAGATTCAGAAAAAGCACAGGACAGATAATGGAACCATTGGCAAATGTATTTGTCAGAGAAACACATGTAAGAGTGAAAAGCATGAAAAGAATGCAGTTATACAGGACAAGTTTTCAAGTTACTTGATTCTCACATTATCTCTTGCTAATGATCTGTTGCTTACTATTCTTTCTTCCCAGTTTGAAAATTTTGACATAGTAAATACCAGCTTATAGCAACAAAGACAAATTAACCCATTTGAGAAACATCAATTACATTTCTGGGTTCAAATACAACTACGATTAATTTCAACTTTGGGAAAAAATACGAATATCTGCCTTGAGAGAGGTGTTTGTAATAACAGCCTGGCTCCCTCGATGGAACTGTGAAGGGGAGTTCATTTACTAGTGATCGTGGTGCCGTCAGGATGGTCACTGCTACTTCTTTCTGATGATATTGGCCGATACCATAGGAAAGCGAATTCTCCCAAGAGAGAAAATTTGTCTTTAGCTTTCAATGGCTAGCGTGGAAGATATAATAAAATACATAATACGACTTTTCTCTTCTGCCCAGATACGGGATGGCTACCTTTGTTAAGAGTTGATGTAATTTAAAAAAAAAAGAGTTGATGTAATTCTAGATAAACTTAACTTTGAACTATTTTGTCTGTAACCAATGAAAAACTTACATTCATATTTCAAGCAGAGGAAACAAATAAGAATTCTCCAGAACGTGCCAATCCTACTGGAAGAAGTTCCCTAAATAACCATGTGATCTATCCTTACAACAGCTGGGCACTGACTTTATGTACAGCATAAACACCTCACCTTTCCCAAAGCACGGTCATTCTAGTTGTCCTGAGTTACTACTTTGGGTGTAGCTGCAGGTTTTTCATTTGTAAAACCCACTCTGTGGAGAAGGCCTTTCACTTTTACCTTTAATTAGATGCATGAAGCCCTTCACAGTAACGTGTTTCTGAATTAGGGAAAATCCACTTGCTATCAACAGGTTGCAGCACATTTGTAGGACTTTCACTTCCCTAGAAACGTAGGATGTGAAGGAACTGAACGTCAGGAGGGAATGCCAGGTGGGAAGGAAAGATGTCACCAGAGAAGATGAGAAAGTTCAAACTCTATACGGCATTCATCTGTAAAAGATAAAATGTCGTTAAGTTTAGTATAATGATCTTGTAAAATGCAGATTCATATAACTTAACATTGCTCGTCTGTTCAACAATGTAGTAAGAAGACACTTCCGCCAGCACATAGCCATGGGATTAGAGGGTTTTTAGCATGTGCTATCATTTTTTCCTGGACTAAAGGAGACCTTTTATATCCTCTAAGCTGATGGATTATTCTCTGCAGCCTGCTGGCTTAATTCTGTTAATCCATCCAGGCTGCATAAAGCTTTTTGCTGTTATGCAAGTCTGGGGACAGAGCAATGAGGCAAATCTCATGCAAAACAAGGGTGAGGTAATGCTGAACTGTATGCCAGACAGAGAGAGGGATGTGGGAGAAGTGATGAATTTTCCTGAAAGGCCACTCAGCAGGAATAACAGATGAATGTCTTTTAGGTGGAGCTACAGCCTCCCTTAGCAGTGCCTCCTGCTCGGCTGCCTGTGGGGATGTGTGTGCTGCTGGCATCTGTGAGTGGAGGCCAGGGATGCCGCTACACATTCTGCAATGCGTAGGACAGCCGCGTGCAGCAGAGAATTATTCAGCCCCAAATACCACAAGAAACAGCACTAGACTACAAGCCTTGAGAACTGAGTCCTTTTTTTTTTTTTTTTAAATCTCAAGTGCTCAACAGTGGGTGGCAAATAGCTCTTAGAAAAATTATTTTGGATTAAAAGCACATGAAGATTTTGGCCCTGCTTCATTGTGGCTGCCACCAACAATGTGTAGTTAAGATGGGAGGCTTTGGAAAGGGAGAGAAAGCCTGGATTCAAATCCTGTCGCTCTCTCTTATTAGCTGTGTAATACAGCATATTAACTAACCTCTCCAAATCTCCACGTCCTTATATATTCAAAGAAGGCTAGCAATGCATAGCAGATAGATTTGTTCAAAGGACTAAACTGGATAGTATATGTAGAATGCCTAGTACATAGATGGAAAACATTGAACAAGTAATAAATGTTCCTGTTATTATTCTCATCAGCTTTGTCCAAAGGCCTCTGGGAGAGGTGACTGGCTTTCAAGTCATCGTAGAGGAAATGTTCATGGTTCAGGAAATCCAGACTAAACAAATACTAAAGTCACGCTGTAGGAAACATTGGTGCTCTGTCTCTCTTGGACGACCTCCTCAGCAGCATGTGGTCCTCCTACTCTGGAGATGGTGCAGGCACCTGCCCCAGTGAGTCCAGAGCTGCAACCTTCAGACGTGGCTGAGAGCCGCCAGCTCCATGAGAGGTTATTCTATTTTGGAGCATATGCCCTAATTCCAAGACTGGGTGCTGAATGGAAACCACGACTGAGGTTACAAATGGTCACAGAAAAGGGGGCGTCTACTCGATTTGGTGACAAATCCAACTCTTGTCTAACAAGTGCTGGGTCCATATTATAGCTTCTTTTTAGCCCTTTGAGTCTTCTGTGGCTTTAATCTGGAGATTTGGGGGCGTGTGTTGATGTGTGTGTATAAAACAGGTTTATTTTATTCTACAACTGAAATGAATGGAATCATCTGGAATGGAATGAGATGGCTCCAGGGGACATCCAGAGACCGAAACTCATTTCCTAGGATTTATTTAAATTGCTCTCACAGCGTCATTCTGAGAGCACAGAGAAAGCGATCACTGCTGGCGCAGATGGAGGAAACTAATCTGTTGTATTTTCTCAAGGTCACAGGAAATAATAATAGGGATGACAGAGTTAGAACTCTGATGCCCAAATCCCAGCACCAGCCCCTCACCCAAAGGCCGCAAAGCCTTTGTCATAACACACCAGAATAAAACATAATGAGTCCTGTGCAAACAGCTCCTCCAGGTGCCTGTTGGAAGGGAAGCAAAGATGAGCTTTCTGAGGCAGGTGCTCTAGAGACACACTGGGTAGATTGACTGTTTGTTCCATCACTTCCTGTTGGAGCGTAGTCCAGTTACCTAATTTGGGGGCTGCTCTTTTTCCACACCCACAAAAGTGGGAATAACAATAATACTTAACTCAGAAGGTTGTTGTGAGGACTGAGTAAGTGATTTCCCTGGGGAGTGCCTGGTATACACTAGGTGCTCAATAAATTAAGGATCCTAATTTACGGTGGTGAGGATCCTGATGATGCGGTAACTTGCTCAGGAACAAAGGAAGTATAAAAGGAAAGCAGCCTGTTTTGGGGGTTCCATCCCTCTGTCTTACATATTCTGAGTTGGCTTTACATTTATGCCACTTTTGTGTCAGGCTTATCAAAGCTCTTTAGAGCAGAGTTGGGGGAGACATTCTAACAGAGGGTGAACCTCCTACACACATGTAAGAGAGTAAATTTATGGTTGTTAGTAAGAATGGAACTATTTTGCTATTACACTATCTAAGCATTTTTCTAAGTAACTTTTTTCCCTCCTCAACAATAGAAAAGGCATAAAAGAGGGGTCTAAAAATTTTAGCCTGTGCTTCTTCCGGTGAGGAAAAATAATGAAGAAAAAAGTTAAGAAACTTAATTGGAAGCAGGTATTACGGATGTTATACAAACACGGTCCCCGAACACATGGGTCTGTGACCCCTGACGTGTGAAGAGCGGCCCCTCTCCCCACCGCTCCTTCCCTTCCCTGCCACCCTCCCTACTGACCACCTAGGCTGTGCCAGGCACCAGGTGCACAGAGATGAAGGAAGGCCAGGAGTGACACAAACAGGACTTTTTAGAAGTATGAAACAATTTTTTCAAAATGAACTGAAATACCTTCATGTACAAAAGAGCTTAAAATTAAACAGCATCAGCAAAAATCTGGCAAACCAAAAAAATCTTTCAGAGGATGAATTTTAGGCTGACAAGCAAACGCTCCTGTTGGATACACTGGAAAACACTCTCTGGAAGGAAGACACGCTCTCACCCTGACACTCATTAACTGTTTAACTCCTGGAACCTTTGGCTCCTGGCAAGCCCTTCAGGGCTGCAGGTGTTAGCGGTGCAAATCAGTTCTCAAACACACAACAGTGGAAATTGTTTCACTGCTGCCAGCTGAAGTCTCTATCATTATTGTATTTACCAAACATTAGTCCCTCCCTTCCTAAAAATAACACTCCTTCAGATAAGCACTGAAATAACAACAGGCCAAAGGAAAACATTTTCTTATCACAGAAATCTTAGTTCCTTAATGTTATGAAATTTCACTTAGTTTTTGGATGGTGCTGAATGCCAGGTATAAAAATCCTGGTGATGGTGGGCAGCCGCTTTTTTAGGCACAGCAGGCTCCAACTCCTCATAGCCACTCTAAGAAACACCCTTCTTGGCTCTGCCAGAGGCTCCCTCTGACATCCTGCAACTGGCCCAAGGTCACCCAGCGCCCTCCCAGTCTCAGCCAGCACGCACCAGCAGGAGCCGGGAACATCCCCACCTGCTACTCACCATAGTGTCAAGTTCTACAGAGCCCACGAGCCGAGACATCGCGTCAAACTCCTCAGGAGACAAGGGGAGAAGGTTGTCTGTGGTCTGAAGTCGAGAAGGATGACTAAAATGAGGAGAAATGAAGGGGAATGTTAACATCTAGACTATGAGTCGGTGGTGTCAACTCACGCATTTCATCTTTGGCCTGTGATTAAAATCATCACCTTACATTTTTCTTTCAGGTATGGGTACTCTCGTAAAATGCATTTAAAAAAGCACAGATCACAGGAGGTTCCTGGCCCCAGCCCGGCCCCTTGGGGAACGTATTAGACTCTAGAGATGTGAGCGAGAAAGAGCCAGACTGGAACCTGTACCACTTCTGCCTGGTTAACTCTGGGTGTGAGCCGTGTGCGGTGTGTCACCCTGTGATGTCAATGCCTCGGCTGACCCTGGCCAGAGAAGCACCAGAGAAATGTCTGGGGAGTCCCTCGTCCCTACCTTGAGGTGTGTGTGCAGATAAGGCTGCTCCAGAGTGTTTTTACATGAAGGCTACATCCATTCACCCCAAGACAGTGCTGCAGGCCAAATTACTGACAATGACTTTTCCAAAATTTTTTCTACCTTTTATAAAATGAAACAACAAAATAAAAGCAAGCGGAAAAATGTATCTCAATCGTTACTTTGGCCTTTTCTAGATTGAAAGAACTACTTTCCCACTCTGATCAAGTTTTGTTCATTTTATTCACACTTTTTCAAAGTATCAGTTTGGGGAGAATTTATATACCTTAAATACAACTTTGGTTTTTGGTTATTATTATTTTTTTAATAAAGGCAGTAAAATGCTGACAGGTACTGACACCAGGATCTCTAATTAGGATCTTTCCAACAAGTCCAACTGTGATGGCGGTGGCAGCAACTACAATGGAAAAGCAAAGTACCAGCATCTTCAACAGACCCCAGCCAGGAGCAGGGCTGGCTTGAGGCTTTAAATATGGCATATTCTTCTGTGTTCACTTACACTTCAGACACAGAAATCAATTCAGTCTTGATGTATCCTGTTCCTTTAGGGCCATCAAGTTCCATTGGTTCTGCTGCTAGAAAGCAAACACACCGTATACACTTTTCTTTAGCAGAAATCACACAAAACAGTCAACTTCCTCTTTGATCAAAATTGTACTATTTGTACTATTAGTACCAATTTGTACTATTGTACTCTAACCTTTGATAGGTTAGAGTCCTAATAACTTTAAGGGGTATGACCTCTCTGACTAACCTGAAATTCTGGATGGGATGTGGAAATAACTGGAAGAAAAGGTGAGGAAAGTTTAGAACAGAAGTCAAGCTAACTGGTTTCCCTTTCCGCAGATGAAATCCTCCAGAAGTTGAAAATTCGTGAAGTTACATCTGGTTTTATGGTCCTAAACGGGTTGCTATAATATACACAGCTGTCCAGATAAGCTGGGGGCGACTTTCCCCCAAAGGGATTGTGTTAATGTTGAGATTTCTGATTCTAAAAAATAATTAGTTTTGTTGGCATGTTCCAAACCATATTAATCTAAGTTGAACTTTCTCAAATTCAATTCAGTGATGACAGAAAAGCAAGACAGCTGTGTTCTAAGCCTATGTCTGCTTTTAATAATAATGACTATTAACAATATGACCTAGTAATGCATTGGGTCACTCTAAATGAACTACTGTATTTTTCTGGGCCTCAGTTTCCTCAATTTTATAGGAACAGTCTGGCATAAATCAGTTGGTCATAGTGCTCCTACCTTTTACTCCTTTCCACGTGGAAAAGGTAATAATGTAACAAATACACAAAACCAGAAATGAACTTTTCCAACACCTCTAGAATAAGAAATCATTCACTCATTTCTTACTAGATATTTCAGGCCAAATAACGCATTAGGTTTCAACTGCACTGCCTTCATTCTTTTACCAATTCCAAAGAAAGTGGTGGGTCAGCAACACAGCATGGGGGGGTGTGCTGGCCCCCTTCACATAAAGGAAAGCAAGAGCAGGGTTTGTCATTGGACCCTGTCTCCAGCAAATCTTTGGACAATGACAAGATGAAAATACAATCACCACTTACCTTCCTTTGGCCTGGAGTAGTATTTTCCAAAGGCATGGTCTTTATCAATATTTGGGTAAAGATACTTCAGGGGATTCTCTGGAATATTTTCTGCGGCCATGACTTTGTAATTGCGAATAATATCAGGGAAAGTAACTGCTGAAAGTTCTTTCTTTGTGTAGGGTTCAACCGCATGGAAGTAAGGTTCTAAAAAAAAAGGAAAGTGAAGTGAGTCCCCTGGAATACCCTAAAACAATAGAGGGAAGAACAAAACACAGCAGAATTTATGGATTTCAGAGAAACTGCTAAGGACTAATCATAATCTAGGAGGTTGAACACAGATAGTGTACTACTGCTTTATTTCTAAATGAATTATAACCCTTTCTTAAAAACAGGAAAAATAAAGGTAGTCATTACTATCAACAACACTGCATTTGTCACTATTTGCTTTGATTTATAAATACAGCCAAAGAAGTCTATTAAACACCTTGAAAAGCATGCATTTTCAATGGTGTGCTGCCCACTGGCAGGTAAATAACTAATTACTAATTAGGTCGTCTTGACTCAAGCCATAAGTTGCTAAAAGATAAGCTCACTTTGTTTTTCTTTTCATATTGAAAAGTATAACTTTTTAATTAAAATAAACAATGACAATACACGGATGACAACTTTTAAAGCAAACAAAAGATCCTATTTGCTAGTTTTTTCTCTAACCCTTACTGAAAGAAACCACAATTTAAGCCGCTCCTTGTCTTATGCCCAGACTAATTCTAATCATGCTCCCTAGGTGAGCCAGGATCTCGGCATCCCTGAGGCCACTGTTTAATGCCCCGGAAACTCTGCCCTAGAACCTCGGACTACACCGGCATCCTAAAGCTTTGTAGCTGGCAGTGCTTACATGTTCAGGTTGACAACAGTTTTCTTCATCGTTACCTGGTTTGCCAGCTCCATCTCTCAGCCAGTTCAAGCAAGAACCAGAAGCAAAAATGAAAAGAGCAGTCTCTAGCATCTACCATCTACACTGGGCTCTAAGCCCAGCTCTTCTCTTTCCTTTGTTTTTAACCAGAAGAAAAAATAAATAGAACAAGAAAACTCTCTCATCTCTTTCCACCTTACCACTGAAAGCATAAACTTCAGCAAACACATCAGCTTTTCCTCCAGTCCTTCAAACAGAGCAAACTACAGGCCACACTGAAAAGTAACCAGCTTGTCTGTTGTTCTCCCATCTCTGCTGTGCAGCCTTATCCCCCAAACTAGTATTTTTCAGTCATGGATTCATTTGGTTAAATAGAAACCCAGGTCATAACAAGGATGAACTTGCGACTGCTCTGTTTGACAGCAGGATGGAGGGCTGCACCCTGGCTGAAGGACCCCTCTTGGAGAGCCTGCCTGCATCTGTGCCCTTCAGGCGGCCTCACCCTTAGTGAGACTGGAAGTTTATGCCTGTGCAAAATGGGTTTCCTCCCAAGAACGAGCCATCAGTCATACTGACTCGCACCCTTCATCTACAGGTAACAAACTAGGGGAAAAAAGAAAGAATCTGGCCTTGTCATTTAAAAACCATCATTTGCAGAAAATGTTCCAGGCAATGAATCACAGATATTCATGGTCATGTATTAAATCCTATCTGAGAGGCTCAGCTGCAGATAAGTACAGGATCTGCGATTCTATGCCAAGGCTCAGTATTTGTATGTACAAGCTGATCTGCAGAGATAGAGAAGGACTCTGCGGGGGGCGTGCAGTGCCTTCGCTCACCGCCTCCGTTCTGGGACCGCTCCACCCATGTGAACGTGATGGCCCCTTCCCGGCAGCTCTCACTGAAGCGCAGCAGGAACGTCCCAGGCTGCTGGTCCTTCAGGAGAGCACGTTCTCGCTCCTTGCTGATGAAGCCCATAATGCACCTTGATGTGAGAGGGATGGAGGCATTTTGAGGTTCAGTTACAATCTTGTTTTTCATGTTAACTTTCAAATCAAGATTACTAGAACCTGACAGAACATAAACTAAAAATGGATATAGACTATTTTATTTTCTTTAAAACCCAATTGACACTTCAGGAAGGATTTCACTTACACATATATATGCTCATTAATACAGTACCAGCAGAATGCTATGGATGATCAATAAATACTTGCTGGATCAACGAGCCTTTTATTTTGGCCAGGAAAATGTCTGACTGTATGCATCTTTTACACTAGAGGAGACGACTCAAGCAATATATACTCATATTCTAGCACTTCCGATCCAGTTAAAGCCTTTGTTGAAATATCAACTAATGTGGGGACTAAGTGCAATAGAAATAACTTACTGAGCTAAAAAAGTGTTTTCTTCCTTCCTTGGGGCAATAGGTTGCGTGCTCAAGAACTTTTTGTGGAATGAATCAATGCATAAAAGGCATTCAGAGTTTTTCAAATTTAGCTTTGAAAATATACTACATATACTGTGAAAGTATTAGTTCAATCTTATGAGGTTCCACTATCACGAAGCCCTGAGGACAGCCTGTAAGCATCGTTTCTGTGAGATGCACACAAGTCTCGGCAACATTGAAGTCTGTCTGGGTCAGGCGGGTGTCAGCCATGCAACAAGGGGAGTGTGTGTTTACGTTTCAGAATCACACCTGTCAATGGCTCTTACCCATCATTCCAGAGAGAGAGCAGGTGTTTTTTAATGAGTTCAAGGATGCTTTCGATCCAAAGCCAGAAAGGAAAATTTTTATCATTTATATTTTCCTGCAAGTAAACATGAACACACATTAGCAACAAGGAAATCCAAAATAATAGTGACTTACCCTGCCTCCTCCCACCACTGGATTTTAATTTGCAAAGATTGCCCAGCCGCCAAAGCTGCGCACTGTCCTGCACTGAGCAGTCCCTCCCCTCTTACTGGTTACTCAGACACCAAGCTCTCCATTTCCTTGGCCGCTTCCCTCTCCAAACAGTAGCAAGCCAGCTAGGGAATGGCCTCCAGGGTGAATCAGAACAGAACCTGCTCTTGGACTAGTAAAATCCAGTAGCGTAAGCAAGCTTGTCAGCACTGTCTGGTGATTCCTTCCGACTGGTTCCTCTGCTTGAACTGGCTGGGGGAACTCATCTGGCTGCCAAACCGTCTACCCCAGCACAGAGCACACATTTCTCATGGACAAGGCAAAAATGCTGCCAAAGGGGGCCCCGTGTGAGCAAACAGAAGGCTCATTTCGGATGTGAAAGAATGTTATCACCCAGGCAGGCGCTTCCTGTCAGACTCACACTTGGAGACCAACCTTCAGTGCTGAAGGAAAGTAAACAACTTGCCCTTGGGGTTCCATGGGCAAGGAGAACAAGCCAAAATAAGCAAGCAGTTAAGGAACTACCATGATGAGAAATACAAGAACCTTAGCAAAGAGTAAAACGGACTCAGAGAGAATTAAACCCAGACAGTGCCCACCTTACAGAACCTCGTCCACGGAATAAGACCATCGGGGCCAGCATTAGGACCTAAACAAATACAAATAAGATTTTTCAGGAAACAGAAATAAATTCGGAAGCTTTGGCTGGACTGACTGTTTAGCTCTTGTGTTTGCTCTCAAAGAACAGAGCCAGGACCCAACAAAGAAAGGTTGTATGTACGTGGTTGATATTCTCAGATACACTAGTGCTAATTAATTACACCTTTTGGAGAAGTCTCAGCTTGGTCCCTCCCTGTGCAATGTCCTCTTTCACTTCCTCCCTCTCTTTCAATAGGGTCTCCTCCAAATCTGAAGTGATCCTATAGTCTTTTCTTAAAATTCAAACTAAGACTTAGTTCATCCCTAGGTAATCTATTTAACTAACATTTGATTTATAAACTTGTTTTAGATACTAATTAGGCATTTCCCTCACTCCTCTTCTAAACAGGACATGGGCTGAGAAAGGTCAATGAAAATCAGAAGGTCAACGAGTGAGGGAAATGACAGAGGGGAGGGAGCCTAAGGGTTACGAGCTACACAAATGAAAGCAGCCCAGGCCATCAGAGGTGGTGAGCCCCTCTCTCCGCAAAGAGAACCACAAATGAGCCGATTCAAACAGAAAAGATGTCTTTCTTAATTCTCACCAAATAAGGAGATGAAATACGGCAATTTTTACTTTTTATTAAATAGTACAAGGCATCTATAGTTACAGCTACCATTTAAAAGAAGGCACTGCTGTGAGCCATCTGGTTAGGGAGAGCCCACTGGTGCCTGTAATATATGCAGCTCTGCTCTGCAAAAAGCAAATCTGAAAAGAGGCTGCCTGTGAATTTTTAAAGAAATAATGTAAATACTCCCATTCATCAATGACCTTGAGACTAGTAGGTCTTTTATTCGATTAGGGTGGAAGACCAATCGATCTATGGCATTAGCTACTGAAAAGGAATGATCTGCTCCGGCTGGGACCTGCCCAATCAGGTAAAACTGCTGGTCCGGGGGCGTTCTGATGGGGACAGTGTCTGCTACCTGGGCCACCTGAGGCAGAGCCTTTGGTGTGTGCTGTGCCGTGGGCACTCCAGGACCTTATTCTTCCCACATCGGGAGCTTTTTTTCTCTCCAAGGGAACAAAGATTTTACTGTTCTCATCGAGGAACTTATTTTAGACACAAGTAATATATTTTACACAATGCAAAGATCCTTCTCTTAGGAACCCTGCTCAGAAATATTAACTGAGACAATGAGAAGTGATTCATTTCAATCTTTTATCAGGTCTATATCTCTTTCCAATGTGAGAAAAAATGCAATGCCTGCTCAGCTATAATAAGCTGTAGCCGGAAAAGCCAACAGAGTTTAACATTCTTCTTCTTTGAACAAAATAGGGAGCAAAGAGGAGAAAGGAGCAAGTAGAGAAATTTTCATAAGTTTCCATTGTTATATACATAAAAAGTGAATATGCTCATACCAAGAAGCTTCTCTCCCAGCATGTTGAGCTGGTCTACATTGAGACCTCTTTTGGTGACAGAAGAAAACTGCCAACTCAGCACCTCTGAAAGCTGAGCCCATCGTGCACAAGGCGGGTTCAGGAAGAAGGACAGATTCTAGAGAGAAAAGTCCCAAAAGTTAATGGCTCCCGAGAACCAACAGGCACAAGCTAGGCACTAAAACATGGACCTGCCCTAAAGCTCAGTTCCAGTTTCTGTGACACACAGAAGTTTTCACAGTAGGCAAGAGAAATATAGTTGATTCTCATTATTTGCAGATTCACACCTATGAATTCATCTGCTCCCTAAAATTGACTCATCACTCCAAAATCAACACTCATGGCACTTTTGCACTCATCCGTGGTTGTGCCTGTGCACAAAGTGGTGAAAAATTTGAGTCAGCCAACGGTTTCCAGCTGAGGTCAAACAAAGTGGCACTCTGCCCTCTTGTTTTGTCTCTTGTAGGATAAACAGTGTCCTTCCTGCAGTCTATTTAAATGGTGCCATTGTTTTACATTTTTGTGTTGTCTTGTTGGTGATTTTGTTGCATACAATGGCCCCCAAGTGCAGAAGGCTCTCTAATGTTTCTGAGCACAAGAGGCCATGATGTGCCTTAAGAAGAACATACATGCACTGGATGAGGCACCAGTTACAGTGGTGCTTGCTGGTCATGAGTTTGATGTTAATGAACCAATGCATACATCAGATTGGTCATCTTTAAATAGCCACTCACATATACAAGGTTATGTATTAAGTAGTTAACAAAAGGTTGTGACCAGGGGCTTGCAGGAACCTACCCCCATATTTAGGGTTCAGTATTTGTTAAACCAGTGTTCATAGTGACTAAGGGACTCGAGTACAGTGAATAATGAGAATTGCCTGTAATTAATCAACAGTGTGTATGCACACTCTAAAAATGAGCATGTTTGTTTAGTGGATGTATACATTAAAAAAAATAACAGTAAAGGAATTTTTCCACAATAAAAGTTGTATTAAATCATCTACTGCCTGTGCTTATTCACACAGAAGGAAAATCATAATTCTCATATGAAACACATACCCACACTTCACTTTTACAGAATTACTCAAGATCCTTGGCAATGCACTTGAATTGTGCCACTTGTCCCTCAACATCTGGCCCTTAAGGGGCTCTCTTAGATATGCAGAAGCTAGAGCCTGGGGTCACTGGTTACCCCCCGAGTACAAAAGTAGATGTGCTGTCCATACCCTGGGCTCCGTCATCAGCATGTTGTACCACAAGATAGAGGCCCAACCACTCGGGAGCTGGCTGACGTTGGAGATCACCACGACAGGCAGAGAGGTAGTCTAAAAGATGACAAAGACCTTGAAATCCTCTGAATCACAAACATATCAGCTTGAGATCACTGTGCAGCCTCGAAACTAAGCAAGGGATTATTCGTAAATGTGCATATATTTCATACTTGAAAGTTAAAAATGTAAAGTTATGTTCTTTTGTTCACTGTTTGTTTTTGATAAATTTTCCAGTTAAGACATGTCTCAATGCTTCATATAAAACTAACAAAGGATAGCTCAACCGAAACACTTAAGGTATAGGATTTGAAGGTTAATTCAATTACCTAGCTTCATAAATCATTAAATTAAGATAGTATTAGCTGGGAAAGATCATCTTTACACCAATTAGGTAAATATCTCTAGAGCAAGAATTAAGAAATAAAAATACATGTAACAGTTAAAAGTAAAAATAAATAAAGTTTTCCACATCTGGATCATGTAAGCCTTACCTCAAGGTCAATGACCAAACCAGGCTGGCATAACTGGGTTTCAAAACTAAGGGAGTGCAGCTCTTCAGTAACAATGAGAGGGCCCTAAAAGAAAAAAGGGGGAAAGGAACAGAATGGTTTGTTCACAAATCCTGTAACTTTCAAGAGTCTAATAAGCACCACAACAGGCTGTGGAGAGTCTGGGCCCAACCAGCTGCAGTTCAGAAAAAGACTCTAGTGTTTCATCATCTAACCCAGAGTTCTCTCAAAAATAAGACTTCTGAAATTATGGCAAGGATTACAGATTAAGGGAGAGAAATGTTGACAGGGAAACAGCAACTTGTAAGTGGTTGATCTGTGTGACCTAAGCCTTCCTGGCCCTTGGGTCTGCTCTGTCCCCAGGGCCCCACCAGGCGACGGTTGCACACCTCCGGCTGGTGTGACTACCTGCCGGGAAGGCTGACTTGTGTAAGCCTGGAGGGTCATAAAATACCTTGACTAGGGTGGAACTGTTACTGTTTTCCAAGCGCCTTCCTACATAATTAGCTCACGCGAGCATCACAGCAACTTAGAATCAGAGAAGGGCAGCCGCTACCCCTGCTTACAGGAGAGGACACTAAATGAGGTCACAAAAGTAGTAAAGGCCCGAAGCAGGGCCAGACAACTGTGTCGGCACCGCCCAGGCCAGTGTCCGTCCCCCTGTTCCCCACGACCTCCACTGGTTGTGGTGAGGAAGGATGGCACACTGCAACATTCCAAACCAAAACAACTGCAGACCCTATTTTGTCCCTGTCCATAGTTCATTTCTGAATGCATCTCAGACGTAACTCCTCAGGGATCTAGCTCTAAAAAAAGAAATGAACAGAAAGACCACGTCCCGGGGTAGGGAGTGCAAGGGCAGGACAACCTTCCCGGTACACTTGGTTTTCTACATGGCAGTCAGAACCACTAGCCTCTAGTTCCTCTGACAGTAATCCCTCCACACCCCTAGCTAAGTCCCGCGGACTTCCTGTGATTCAATGTCTTCGCCTGTGAGCTGTGAGTAACGCAGAAGCATAACACCATGCCCACTCCACTGAGCTGTCTGGGAGGCTCTAGTCAATTTGTGTGCAAAACCATAAAGCTCGAGTGAAGAGTGTTTTTACTGCTATTACAAGCACACCAAGGCCCCAGACACATTCGCTGCTCTCTGCTGCTGGGTCTGAATGCCTGTGTGAGGAGTCCCGAGCCACCAGGGCACTGAGCCAACCACACTGGACACTCCTGCTGATTAGAGACAGACTCTCACCTCGTTGGTTCTGTTGCCGGCATTCTTCTGTTCCTTCAGTTGCTATAAAACAAGAAACAATCTCAGTAAAGCCACACAATCTTCAACGTTGCTATTTTCATTTACAAACCAAACCGAAGTCAGGACTTAGAAAGTGTGAAGAATGTGAAATTATTTTCAGAATGCAGGACAAATGAAGAAATAACCTTGTGTGGATTCACCTGCGTAAGCACCTTTCCCCTGCAGCCTGACATCACTCAAACACCTCGGAGTCTAGAAGGACCCCCCCAAGTTGCATCCCGCTCCCTTCATGTGCAAACTTTTCCTGACTGATCCCCCATCTCCTTCCTTAGCTGTTTTATGCTCCCCAAGCTCAGGGCACAGCTTCTCCTGCGCCCCCACCTCCCAATGGCAGTCTTCCAGGCCAGGCCCAGCAACTCCAGGCCAACTGAGACTACCCTCAAAAGGACCTCAGTGACTTTGATCCTGGAGTTTTCAGTGGAACAACTTAGAGTCCTGAGAGCACCTCTGGACAGCCTCAGACTCCAGAGTCTGGACTGAGGCTCTCACTCAAGGTCTAGCTTCCTGGCTGAGCTTGCTGGTTCACGGGACGGCTGCCACTGTAAAGGGTGCCGTGAACCTCCCTGCAGGCTCTGGCCCTGAGAACACACAGGGCTGAGCACCAACACATCCTCAGAACTGGCCTCCAGGGTTTCCACAGAGGCAGGCAAGGCATCACCCTCCTCAACTCCCCTGCTTGGTGTCTACTGCCCAGGGGGACAGGCGCTGTTCCCATGGAGACAAAACAGTAGCGGCAGTAGTTGTGGAGACCACCAGGAAGATGAATGTGAGGAAGGGGTTGAGAAGAGACCCGGGAGTCTGCCATCCTTGGACAGGGGAGAAGAGACAACCAGGCCACGGGAGCAGTAACAACCTCTGAGGAAACTGCAAGCGCCTACAGTGAGTGATCGCTGAGATCATGGAGGCACCAAACGCAGATAATTTACGTGTGCACTGACTGGTGGAATACTGTGCTGAGATCACTGCGCCCCAAAAGAGTATCTCTGGGAGGGAAGCAGCAGAAAACAGAGTGAACAGTCCTGGGAAAAGGAAGAACGGAGGTTCCCTATGTGCTGGTGAAGTCACCGTCCACAGACGGTGACAGTCTCCTCCCGAGGTGCCCTCCACAACCCCCAGTGCACAGAGTGCCACTCTATCCTCCAAGGTCCTAATGAACCAGACACAACATAAAAGGGCGAAACTGGTCTCCCTACCAAGTGTCGAAATTCCGCTGCCAGACTTCCATTGGTGGACTCTTCCATGTTCATCACTTTTGTGTGTGTGCCCAAAATGTTGAATTTTCTGAACCTAGGCAAAAAAGGGCAGAAATACTTAAAAGGCTTGAAACTATTAAACAAAGAAGACAGTAAAATATAGTACAAAGTACTTTACATACCCTTTTACTGTATTTCTCTCATTCACATCTCTGGAAAAAAACATATAAAAATCATATATATGCATTTAAATTTTGAAAAAAGCCTTTTAACAACAGTATAAAAGTACACGTATAAATCAATGTCAATAAAAAAATAAATCTGTAGTTGTGGGTTTTGCGCCTTTTCATTACTTATTCACTCCCAACACCCGCTCTGCCAAGTACTGCTAGGTAATTAATTATCTGGGCCTCACATTTCTCATTTGTACCACGTGCGAACAGTACCAAACACACAAGATAATCGTGAAGACTAAACTAGCTAATGTGTAAAAAGAGTACATGGCACACCCTCATAAAACGTAAGCTTCCGTTATCACTATTTATTGAGCACTTACTTTGTGCGAAGCACTAAGGACTCAGCAGAGAGCCGTGCTTGGCTCTTACAAAACTAAAAGGAACTTCCAATGTGACAGCTTAATCCTTATTTTTATTCTCTATTTTTTGGGATGCTTTCATGGAAGTAACAGAACAGTCAATTATCTGGGAAAACTGTCAAGTTTAAATTTTAAATCTGAGGTTAAAATCTCAAGACCATGCATCCTATATAAATTCAGTGATTACTATGTCACATTCCAGGCAGATGAAGTATCTGTTAGGTGTAGGTGCAGATTAGAAACCACTAATGCTCAGAGTGAAATGATTTAGCTTCCTTTCCCGTCTATACTAGAAATTCAACATTTTTGTGAATGACAATCACCATTAGCTAGGAGAGTGACCCATTTTCCCCTGGAAAAAAAGAAAAGAATTTAAAATCAAAGGAACAGTACGATACAAACTGCCTTGTCAAAACTAAGAAGAAAAGTCAGGGCTGGAAGAATTAAAAAAAAAACAAAGAGCACAACCAGACTGAGAGAAACATTGAGCTAAAGCAGAGTGTGGTAAACTGCAGGGACCACAGAGTCTTTGCAGCTCTTCGCCTAAAGGGACAGGTGTACTTCCCTTGTTCCCTGAACCTCAGGTGACTGACTTGCTTTCACCGACAGAACAGATGGGAGTGGTGCTGTACAAGTTCCAAGTCTAGCCCAGGAGGCTTAGCACGCACCTGCACCTGCTCTTACCCGCCTGGAATGTGTCACTATGTGGAAATGCCCAGTCTGTGAGAGGCCCCTGGGGAAGAGCCCAGTTATCGCAGCTGAGACCTCAGACATGTCATGAGACCACACTAGACCACCTGGGCGACAACCAAGCTAGCCCAGACCAAGACCACCTACAGCCCACAAATTGTAAGAAAAATAAGTTTTTGAGTTTTAAGTCACTAAATTTGGGGGCAGTTTTTTATGCAGCAAAAGTTTATAGAGAAACCAAAGATGATGGCAGGAAAAGGCAAAGGCACAAACTGTGCTAGGAGGAAGAATATTGTTACAGGAGTGGGAACAGGAAAAAGCCAGAGGAAAATTATTCAGATTATTGTGAATGGTCCTGAAAATCCAGTGTGCCATACCCACCAACAAAAGCATTACATATAACAAGGAAGGGGGAAGCCATCTTGCTCCTAACGTAAGTGGCTAGGTTGGTGCTATTCCAGGGTCTATGGGCAAAATGGGATAGCTGTTCCACTTAGACGCCTGTGAGAAATCCTGCCCTTTTCTGGGTCCCTACTGCCCAGAAGAGACAAGGGCGAATCCAGCAGACTCCACACAGGCCCCTGCAAATGATGTCAACCTCATTCCAAAAACAACATTCACAAGTGGCTGCAGAACTGCAGCCTCCTGTTTGATCAAGGGCCCCTCCTCTGGGGCTGGCCTAGGAGGCAGGGTGGTGCTTTGAGACTGGATCACTATAAGCTCATATGCATAAAACACACTCATTCTTTTGTTCCTGTATAGCCTAAAAAGGCAGGGTTTGTTATTACCAGTCTAGAGGATATGCCCAAGATTTAGAATAGCAGCTACCAACTAAAACTGGCTGGGATCCCTTGCAAATGGGCCTGGTGGTTCAGTCTGCGATTGGTTAACAAAAACAGGATTTGAACAGCACATGTATCTTAGATAATATCAAAGATATCTTACTTATCAAATAAAACTTTGACTTTCAAATTATAATTCAGCTCTTGCAATTTCACCAACAGTCTGGAAAGAAAAATAAAAATCATCATTACTTTTAAAAACTATGTATTACAATTTATTTATCATGCCAATTTCCTGTCAAACATTTCAATAACCACCTTCTCTACTTTTGGGTTATTACAAACAATGGAGTTGATCTCCATTATATTACTTATTACTTATATTACTAATATAATTACTTATATTACCACTTGGATGTTTCAGAAGTGTATTTGTAGAGTAAATTCTTAGCTGTGTAATTACTAGGGCAAAACTATAACTTTAAATTTTGGTAGAGAGCAACACTGAATTTATATTCCCACCTTCCTACACTGGGCTGTATCATAAGTTCTATTTTGGGTCAGTTATATGGGTAACTGGGTAAAATACAGTAAACATTCCTCTTACTAAAACTTGTATCTAATGTCTTGCCTTGTTGGGAGAAAACTAAAACTATCGCCCATAATCAGGAAAATGCGGGTCTCATCTATAATCATTCCAGGGCAGTCTGGAAAACCAGGAAGAAGGAGCCCTGGGCTAGGACTCAGGGTGTGTCTGCTCTGCTGAGCTGGAGGCCCTGGGAGGGAGCTCGGGTCTCAGTCCGCCCCATTTAGTGGATCGGACCGATGGGATTAGATTTCTGGTGCCCCTTCCAACTGTGCGCTTGACCCTGAGGTGCTGGAGGGTGGCACTCTGGCGCCGGTAGCCAGGAAGCAGCACCCACGGACCTAACTGAGCAGCACCCCAAAAATGGGGCCAGGGCCGACTTGGAAGGCAAGTGCCACTCTTTGACGTCCGGCTGCTCATCTGTGAAGGAACAGCAAATGGAACATGGCCGTGTGTTCTCATGTGGAAACATTCCCACAGTTTATTATCAGAGAGAAAAACAGGCTGCAAAACAACATAACTAGCAGATTCCTAGTGCTTAAAAGTAAAATATTCCATGTCATATATATTTGTGTGTATGTATAAACACACACACACGAATGTATCCATTCATGTATTCGTGCAGACATGGGTAAAACTCCGGGAGGACTGACCCAGGCTGTTTATCACAGTGGTCCACAGATGTTTAGGTCACAGACAACTTTGAAAATCTGATGGAAACTATGAATCCACTCACCAGAAAAATGCATGTGTCACGGGCCCACATGCACACGCGCTGCATGTCGTTTTGGGGGCATATAAAGCTCAGGCCACAAGCTTGTGCTCAAAAGGACACGAAGCTGCGGGGAACTTTTACTATTACATGCAGTTCTGCAATTCTGAATTCCTTTTAGAATGAACATGCATCACATTTACAACTGGAAAAAAGCAGGTGCGTGTGTATACGCGTATAACTAGTGTGAAAAGGCGAGACTGACTTTTAGATATTCTAAATAAGAATTCATAAAAAAATGCCTACTACAAAATCCCTTCCTCTAAGTGCCCTACACAACAGTGCTGTGGAGGAAGTCAGGGTGCCCACTCCATGGCAGGCGTCACAGGGGTTAACGGCTTTTCTTCCTTACCTCAACTTCACGGTGAACTGGACCCCAGTCTTCAAGACCAGTGGCCTCTGAGGATGCGTTGGCATGCACGGCTGTCTCTCCACCACAAATGAGCTGTAAATTCCCAGCAAAGTGTAAACAAGCATTTCCATTAAGGTTGAGGCAGCAAAAAAATTATTCCCACTAAACAGGAAAGGGGGTTATTGGGCACAAGCTAAAAAAATAGCTTTGAAAGATTCTAACAAGTTGGATAAAGTGAGGTTTTCTGGTCAGTAAAGAAAACCTTACTAATTTGTACCCAACAAGATCAGAGTAATTATAGTGACCTATGATACTCTCCCACAGTGAACACCCATCGTTGCTCGTGTTCATTCACAAATCCGCATTGAGAGCCAAATTTGGTGACGACACTTACTGTCGTCATCTCCCAACAGACACAAGCATCGAGTCATCATGTTGTGCCCCTAAACTAACACAATGCTACATGCTCATTCTATCTAATTTAAAAATAAAACAAAAAGAGTTATTAACATTGAAAATAAGCCAAGCTTTCTACCATAATTTGGAATTAAAATTTTAATATCCTTTGGAAAACTTTTTCTAGGGAAATTGTTCAGTAATATTTATCTAATAATCATTTCCAAACATTAATTTTCATTTAAAAAATCAAATTTGCATTCTAAAACCCAAGTAAACATCCTTGATTATTTCAAAATCCAACACCTAGGCATTCTGAATGTCCATTCAGAATACAGGGAATAATTCAGCTACAGGGAATTAAAGACATTTTTAGTAGGTCAAGTTAGCATAAAAATAATAACTGTTGTGATATGAACTCCACTCTTTTACTTGGTGCCATCTCTCAACTACGCATATTTGGGACTCCTACCGTTGGCAAGGGCCTGGCGGGGGAGCATGGGCGAATGCCACTGTCTTCCAGGATCTTCCGATTTACAGCAAGCAGAAATACGTAGACAACTATGTAACAAAATCCAGAGTGGGAGAGGAATAGAGAATGAACCGTGCAGAGCTGGGGAGGGGATAACATCTGTCGGGGAACTCTGGGAAGATTTCATAATGAAATAAAAGCTGAAACTTCCAGGGTGAAACGAATGTGAAAACAGGGACACGCGCAGAAGGCTCTCAGGTGGAGGATACACTGTTAGGAGAGGCACGGAGAGGTGAACGTGCAGGGTGGGCAGGCGGTCAAGTCTGCCTGGACGTGGGGTGTGGAAGCCACCGCTGCAGTGGCCTCTGAGGGCCAGGCAGTGGGCGTGGGGCACAGTGTCCAGCTGAGGGACTCCACTTGGATTGGCAAGTGACTAAAAACCCGGCTGAACTCAGTGCCAGGTCACGGGGACTAGGGAGGGAGGGCTGAGAAGGGGGCCATGGGGGAGGCTACTATGTACGAGTTCAGGAGAGAAGGTTTGAAAGCCTGAAAAAAGGAGAGGCCATGGAGGGAAAGGACAAATATGAGGTTAGATGTCACTGTCTCAGCATACATACACTGGCTGTGAAGGCACAGAGAAGGAGTAAAATTTCCTCACTCACACTCTAGGTGCCAGGAAATGAAGGGCCCTCGGTATAAATGAGGAATTCAGGAAGAGCTGACTGGCCACAAAAAAAAGTTTATATAACCATTAAACCCTTCTTAATTATTGGAATTACCACACAATTTTCCTTTGGGTAAAATAGTTGTAGAAGGTGCAAATAAATTTCCTTTAAGTTACCTCTGAATGAGCTGCTGGAAAAGGCTGAAGGTGCGGTCCCATAACGCTTGTTTGTTTTTTGTGATGGGGTCGTGGTCATAGGTATACTTCTGTTCCAATTCTTCAAGCTTTTTAAGCTGCTGACGAACCTGCTGCAGACTCTCTGCAACTATGGTGAACCTGGGAGGGTACAAGGCACAGGGGTCTCAAACAGAAACAGTGCCTGAGCAGTCTGGACTAAAGGGAATCACAGAAACCGGAGACACGCTCTGTTCTCTACGCAGGTGCATTCCACACTGCGGGGAGCCACGGAGAACAAGGCTCACCTTGGTATTAAGAAGTTGTTATTTGGGGAGAAAAAACTAACACGTGCTGTCCAATCAGAACTGCAGTTACGCAGCCCAGCTCACAAACCTCTGCTGCTGAGGACTTAAATAACGAGATGGGTCAGCGTGGGGGCTTCTAGGGGGACCTGTGGCTTCAACTGACCTATAGGATAATTGGGATTTAAAAACAGAGGGCCAAGAGGAGGGGAGAGGCAGGGGACACAATAAGGTAGATGCCATCAGAGGTGATGCAGGAGACAGTGAGGAGGCCGCTGTGGATACTATGTCAGGACAGTGAGGAGAGGGCAGCCCGGAGGCTGTGGAAGCCATGCACAAGGGCTCTAGGCCCGGGTGAGGAGGAGAGGAGAAAACAAGGGTTCTCATTTCATTGAACTGAAGAAGGCAAATGCTCCATCTAAACGCTCACAATATAAACCAAGGAGGAAACTTAACAACTGCTTTTGGTTTCCTCCTTCCTCACAGTGAACTGCCAAAGCTGACGTAGCCTCTGAGCCAAGTCAGGATGTGAAAGGCTCACTTTATTTGCCTGGAGTAATGACAGAAGAAAATCTCCCCATGAAAAACGTCTTCGCTTTGTGGACTCATTCCCTGAGTCCAGTTCCAAGCATGGAGTGTAGCCTTAGCCACAAAATGAAAAGTCAAGTAGCAGGTAGGCAAGTTCCAGAGGCATTCAAACCCAGTGCTTCCTGACTTTACTCTGTATTGGCACATCAGAAAATGACAATCCTTATACAGTACAGTGCGGGATGCTGGAGGGCATTTGTGTCTCTGGGAGAGGCTCCTTGTGGCCTCCAGCGATCACTAGGGGGTTTCAGACAGCCTGGGCTTCTCTGGGTGCTAGAAGGAGTGGCTCAAGGTACACAGGGTGCACTAGGCTGGGCAGCTCTGTTCTGACCCACAACAAATTTAAGGATATGAACAGGCAATTCACAGAATAAAAACAAATGACTGAATATGAATTGGGATTTAAAAAATAGCAATCCAGAAAATCACCTTACAAGATCTCTGGCCCCTGGGCCCCTGGGAACCGTTCCAGGCCACTATCGGCTCCAATCCACTAGGATTCTCCTTCTTCCATCCTGAGTGCTCTGGCCGCCCTCCCCTGGGCCACAGGAATGTACTTACAGTGGCCCAGCTGGCCTCTTTGTCTCTATTCTGTCCTTCAGACTAATGCCAGTATGACATCTCTAAATCAAAAATCAGAGCAATGAGCCTCTACTTATAAATAAGAGGCCTGCCTGGTCCACTGGTGCCCGCTGAACAAAGCCTGTTCCTGGTGTGGTGTGAGAACCTCCGTGACCAGGCTCCAGCCTCTTGCCATTGTTGAGTTCCTTCTGCCCTCCAGGCACCCTGCTCTCCAGCCACCCACCGTGTCGTGCTGCAGGCCCCGCTCATGCCCTGCGGCTCCTCACTCTGTGCCTCTGTCTACGCTGTTCTCCTCTCTGGTCGACATGAAATACTCCTATCTGTTCTCAAGAGTCCTGTACAAGTCCATTTCCTCTTGGAAACCTTTCCTGGTGACCTCTTCCTTTGTCCTCCATGGAACTCTGGACAGATGTTTTGTAGAGTGCTGGCAACATTTTGCTGCACAGAATTATTAGCATGTGTATCTCCTGTCTCCACACTGGAAGCTCCTTACTGGCAAAGCCCAAGAAGCACGCATCCTTGTGTCCCCAGGTCCTAGCCCGGTGCCTGGCACACAGCATTTCCTAAGTATTTACAGGATGGATGACTGAATGACTCATGACAAAATGTTATTTCATGTAATCCTGGAAAATGCCTTCAGCTATTTTGTTTTTAATAAAACATTAGGATTCAAGTTGTTAAATGTGTTATGTGACGACCATGTCACTGGTGTTTTGACACAAATGATGCATCCCTTGGTACAGGTATAGCAGGGAGAGAAATGCTCTTAATCAAGTAGAACATGACTGAACACAACCACAGCCATGAACAATGCTGGGCTTTCCAAATGAGTGTTTTCAGGGCAAGAAGAAGCTGGACTGGGTCAAATTCCAAGCCAGAGTTCTGACAGATCCATTCAACCAATGCAGCTCAAATATACACTTTTATATGGTTATCCAGCCAACTGCCGATTTTCCCCTTTGGAGAACCTTACCAGTTCTGCAGCTGATCGAGGCAAGCATTGGGTGGTCCCCCGATACAAGCGCTCTGCTGTCTCCGCTTCCACTCCACTAGTTCATCATTAATCAGGGCTTTCTGGGTAAGTTCAGAGGCATTCAACAAGTCTATTATTTTGTGAACTACTTCCTAAAGGGAAAGGCAGAAACAAAGTAAAACAAATTGACCTTGAATCACTGAATTTTAAAGGATTATTTTAAAGGAAGACAAATATCCTTTCAACTCAACTGAAGCTCAAAGTTAAGTGGTTATGATAATAATTTTCCCCTATTCTAAACTTCAAGTCCATTATTTAAAGTTTATGACAAAAACAAACATGTTTTTCTGGAAAGTGAATCACTACCTTTCTCTTATTGTCGAGCATTAAATACATCTTCTGGAGCAACATCTGCTCTTGTTTCTGATCGTTCTTTGCCACACCATTGGTTTCATGTTCTGTTGGGGGAGACAATGAGTAAGTATAAAAGTGAAAGAAGACAACATGAATGAAGGCCAAGATTCACATGCATTTAGGAGACCCATGATCCAGATATTATCTGGTGACAGCTCAAAGTCAGGTCTTTTTCAGCCTTTCTGAACAAAACAAGAAAAAAGTCCCAAGTATAAAAAGTGGACACACTAAAACAAAGCACCTGTTTTCAATGACCCGCATAAACTGGAAGCAGTACTGTGTGGTTCTAAAGTCATTGTCAAAATATGATCTCAACGAATCTAAGCGGCAAATTCAAAATGTCAGATAAAAAAGCAAAGCAAATCCGCAGCTTTAAAAGAGAAGAAGACAGAGCCCTGGCTGGCATAGCTCAGTGGACTGAGTGCTGGCCTGTGAACCAAAGGGTTCCAGGTTCGATTCCCAGTCAGGGCATATGCCTGGGTTGCCAGCCAGGTCCCCAGTTCAGTGTGTGCAAGAGGCAACCACACATTGATGTTTCTCTCCTCTTCCTCCCTCTAAAAATAAATTAAAAATCTTTAAAAAAGAGGAGTAGACAATTAAAAAAATAATAGTAATTGAAGTTCCTTTCTTTCATAGTGTTAACCCAAGTCTTACCAATAATCTCCCCAATATTCTTATTGAATTTATTGGGGTGACACTGGTTAATACAATTATAAAGGTTTCAGGGGTACAATTCAATAACACATCATCTGTATACCGTACTGTATGTTCACCACCCCAAGTCAAGTCTCCTTCCATTACCATTGATCCCCCTTTGTTCTCCAATATTCACCACACTATCATCCAAATAACTGATAGGGCTACAGCAGCACCCTCCACGTTCTAAACCATGTGCACTTGTAGGTTATTTTCAGTTGCTATAATCATTAAGAACAAACAACAACAGAATAGAGCTAAACTGCTTTAAAACATGAGAAAAATGCTGAATGTTACTTTCAAAGTATACACACGGAGCTGGAATGTTTGAAGGAGCTTTAAGCACTAGGGCATGGGAAATCACATTCCTATCAATCTCTGTCAAGCCACAGGCTAAACACAGCAAGTAAAGTGAGAAACAAAACATGCCACCCAGGGCACCACTGAGGCTAAAAGGATAGTTCTACTGCCATCTGGTGGGCAGAAGTCAGACATGCTGCTAAACATCCTATAGTGCATAGTAAATTATCTGGCCCAAAATGTTAATAGTACTGAGGTTAAGAAACCCTGGGTTTGCAAGAAGCCAAGACTAGCAATTCAGTGTCAAAAAATCTTCCAAATATGAAAGCATATTGGTCTTTGTTTTCTAATGTAGACAGAAAAAATTATAGCCAATGAGCACTGCATTAAATATTAACTCACCTCTGTTCTGTGAGGTTTTGCATTTAAAGTCATATTCATCTTGTAAATCTTCTAGGGTCTTGATTTCATGCTCTATACACTACAAATAAAGATATAAAAAGGTTTGCAATTGATCAGCTTCTAAAGACTTTAAGAAACAAATCATTGCTTCTATAAAACCCAGAAAACCATGATAATAATCCTGTTCCTTCAAAGATGGACTAGACTTGCATAATCCTAGTCACATACATTAAATAATTTCTATTTCACTAATAAATATATAATAATTTTATTTATTAAATATGGCTATTTCTGCACTGGGCCCACTGATTTCTACTTTAATGAAGTGGTTCCCTCAGAAGCTGCAAAATAAAGTTGCTTTAAAGAATCCGGAGTCTGGAAAGACGCTGCCTGAAGCATCAAGTCAAGGCTATGCTGGTGTGACCCAGACACCCATGGGAGGGAGGTCACAGCCCTCACCTAGGCCTTTTCCACAGACACTGGCCTGGTATAAAGCAAGTTTCCTCATCTTTTCCCCCCAAATAGCTCTATCAGTGAAGGGCAGTGAACAAACCCCACCAAAGGCACTAAAGGAGCCCTCTGCGTCCATAAACTGTCTTACAAGTTTATCTTAAAATTACTGTGGATGTTTTATTCTAATAGGAACTGTATCAGAGTTTCTTTCAATGAAATGACTTTATGCCCCCTCCAAGTTTTAGAAAAAACAAGTGCTCAAGGAGGATGGACCACGTTTTTCCAGCTCCGTGAAAACCCAGGATCGCCACAGTTTGAGAGGCGCAGACATAAAGGGCTCCTTAGAGGAGCAACATCCAGCTTACTGAGTGATGGGACAAAGTCAACAGTTACCACATGATACCACATGGAGGAAGCAACAAGCTCAATGTTTGGAAGTCACAACAGGAAATTATAAAAGTCTATCTACTCACTGGTTTTACCAATGTGTTTCCTTAAGGTTTGGAATTTGAGCTAATTTTTCTTCTCAACTATTTAAAGAACTGAAATCAGTTACTACAGTTACACTGGATCAACTGAAACTATTTTCTTCTATAAAAAATTACAGAATAAATGTATACATTTACTCAGTACTCACCATAACTTTGTCCTTCACATTTCTGACTCTGCTGTCCAGTTCCTTCTGTTTGTCTAACATCACAGTGCTCTGAATATTCCCCGACTGAGCCTGTCGGGGGAGGTGAATGGTTAACAGTCATCCATTCCTCTGATGTATTTACCTGCTGGTAATACTCCAAAGACAAGTCTGTACCCTGAGTCCCCCACTACCTCGGAGCCCTCCCAAAACCCCTACACAGGCTTCCCACATGAGTATGAGAAACAACTCCGTTCTCAAGGCTTTGGAAAATGCTGGCAAACTGTTAACACTACAGAAAGACTAGGCTTAGTTCATGTCTAAAATAAACAAACAGTACTTCTGAAATTTTCCATTAATTCATACAGCTGCATGGCACCACATAGGAATTTATTTCAGGGTTCCTCAAATTCTGTAGACAAGATTCTTATTAACCCCATATTTATTTGTCTAAAGCCTTGTGATTCAGTGTGGTCCCTAGACTAGAGCATCTTGTCACCTGGGAGCTTATTGGAAATGCAGAAGCCTGGGTGCTAATCTAATGACTAAATCAGAAACCGCATTTTGACAAGGTCCCAGCTGGTTTGGAAGCATGACAGCCCTGCTGTAAAGAACTTCGATGAATATCTACTGTAATGAATATCAGCCCAGACTCACTAGGAGTATTGAGTCCTCATTCTTGTTAATCAGAAGACTTAAATACAGTAGTACCTATTTATTACATATGGTGTTCCTTAATTTATATAGGTACTAAATCAAGGTCAGGCAATGTCCTAGGCCCAGGTGGCAAAGTGGAAAACAAGACAGAGCCTGTTCTCCTAGAGATTAGACTCCGGAAAATTTTAACTTTGTTTACAGTTAAAGCCTCCCGTGTCAAAAACTGTGCCCATCAACCTCTCTTACCTGATGCCCAGCACAGGTTCTGTGTGGGTGGGTATTTTTATACATTCAGATTCATCAGTCTTTTTTCTTTTTAAACCTGGGTTTTTCCTTCATATTAGAAAGCCTTCCTCTACTGACAGATTATTAAAAAGTTCACCCATTTTTTCCCCAAGCACTTGCATGGTTTCATTATTTTTATGTTTAGCCATCTTAATGGCTAAAACTTATTTCTAACTTTAATGTGAAGTATGGATTCAATTTCGATTTTTTTCCAATTGGCTATCTGTTTGTATTAACGTTTAATGAAAGGTTCCTATTTCCCCCAGTGCTTTGAGTTTCTACCTTGATCAAATCAATTTCCATATGCACCTAGGTTTTCTCTTCTCCTACTGGTTTTTCCCTTCATAAGCTCGAACCCGTAAACGAGGTCTAATTATGGAGTGTTGACAGTGTACACACTGGGGGTAGTCCCATCTTATCGCTCCGCTTTAGTCCCATCTTATCGCTCCGCTTTTTCACGGGTTTCCCTGTTATTCTTGCATATTTATTTCTCACGTAAATTTCAGAATCAATCTGTATAACCCCAGGAGACAATATGTTATTTTTATTGGGATCACATTAAAATATGAATTAACTCAGGTAGAACCAATGTTTATGATGTTGATATTTTTGTTTGTGTATTTTTTAATCCTCACCCAAGGATATGTTTATTGATTTGAGAGAGAGAAAGAAACATCTATGTGGGAGAGAAACATCCATCAGTTGCTTCCTACATATGCCCTGAGAGGGATCGAACCCGCAACCTGTTGGTACAGGGGACACAACAGAACCACCTGGCCAGGGCTGATGTTGTTTTTAATTCTGCTTCTAATGGTTTTCTTTTGTCTAATTGTACCGGCCAATACCACCAATACAGTGCTAAACAGCAGTGGCAGTGCACATCCTTGTGGTGGTTTTGACTTATGATGCTTTCCCAATTAAGTAAGATACTATAACTAGAACTGAGATATATATATATATTTAAATTTTTTTATTTATTTACTTCTAGAGAGAGGGGAAGGGAGGGAGAAAGAGAGGGAGAGAAACATCCATGTGTGATTGCCTCTCACGTGGCCCCCACCGGGAACTTGGCCCGCAACCCAGGCATGTGTCCTGACTGGGAATCGAACCAGCAACCCCCTGGTTCGCAGCCCACACTCAATCCACTGAGCTACACCAGCCAGGGCTATTTTAATGGGTTAAAAAGCCATCCATCAGTTCCTATTTTACTAAATGTTTGGGTTTTTTTTTTAAATCAGAGATGGGTATTGGATTTTGTTGGACCTTTTTGGCATCGATGGAGATGAATACATGCTTTTATGCTTTTTCTCTATATCTTTTTTTAAAGATTTTTTGAAAAGATTTTATTTATTTACTTTAGAGGGGAAGGGAAGGAGAGAGGGAGAGAAATATCAATGTATGGTTGCCTCTCGTGCGTCCCCTGCTGGGAACTGGCCCACAACCCAGGCATGTGCCCTGACTGGGAATTGAACCGAGATCCTCTGGTTTGCACGCCCACACTCAATCCACTGAGCTACACCAGCCAGGGCACTCTATATCTTTTTATATAATGAAATCCATTTATGAATTACCCAGTTACAATCTACCTTTGTATTCTCAAATCAAATTATTATTGGTCATGATGTACTATTTTTAATGTGGTATTTAATTATGATTCCAATTTTTATATTGATATTCATAAGTGAAATTGGTCTATAATTTTCTTTTTTGTTCTATCTTTATTAGGTTTAGGTAAATCGAAGTTATTCTTTGTTTACAGAAAACATTTATAGTTTTCCTTCATTTTATATACTCTGCAATAGCACAAACTCAAATCTGCAATACAGTGTAAAGTATTATTAGAAATACATGAAAATGACTGGTATTCCCAGGTGTAGGGGACCAGTTTGTCCTGGCCTGGAAAATATGACTCAGCTCTGTATGGAAAAACCTACAGATGTGAAGAGGTGGGCAGGAGCCGGACTTTCAAACCGAGTTTTCCCATGGGAATCAGGCCTAGAAAATGCATACAGATTGTTACGGCTTGCTCTTGCTGAAACTCCATCGCCCTGGTCTAAAACACAAATGTGTATTGTCTATCTTCAAGGTAACTTCCAAAGCCTATGTGAGCTCTCCCAAGGACAGAGCGAATGAGCTCACTGCCACCCCCCTCTGCATGCTATTTTTATTTCCTTGATTGTACCTAGAATGTAGACAATAATATTCTATGTGATAGATAATAAATATTTCTATAATGTAAGACCCTAGGAAAACAATAAAAGCCTGTCTAGGCAGGGGTCAGGGACTCCCCTTTTGAGAGAGTGGCCGAGGCACCATAGGCACTCTCCCCTTGAGAGAGTGGTCGTGCCTGTTCCCTTTTTCCACACAGGGTTGTTGTTGCCTGTGAATTGATTCTCCTCGTAAACCACAACAGGCGGACTCTGCTGGACAGGGTATGCAACACCCAGGTGCCACATGTCACTAAGTGACAAATAGGGCTGCTCTGGGAATTCAGAAGGAGCCATCCCCTTAGAAGCTCCAATAAAGGCTTCCTGCCTCTGCAGGGAAATCTTTGAAGTTGTCCATTTCTAAGCCAGCTGGACGTGGACACTGTCCTGTGAGCTCTGCTAACGGCTGGGACACTTCACCCATTAGAGGATTCCGACTTCCTCGCCCTCCTCCCTAAATTATCAAAGGTTAGTTTAGTGAACAGGGGTATAAACAATCACGGTTGTAAGAATGCAGTTGTATTTCATCTACTACATTCCCTTCCTGCTGTCACAAGAGGAGATGCTTGGTAAAAAAATCTGGTGACCAAGGCAGAGGTATAAAAAAACTCCCACGGCAAACATAAGCAATAGGCCATCCAAGTTACTAAGCCCTTCGGTATTCTTACTCCTTCCTCTCACTACCCATTCCATCCCTCCACCCCACAACTCCCACCTGTTAAGTGCTGCTTACCGTCACGCGCTTAAAAAATAACAATAATATCACTCCGACTACTCTATACTTTTGACTCTGATACTACTTCCAGGACGAGTCTTCAACTTTTTAACTCACTGACAAACCAGGAAACATCAGGAAACCACAGAAATGTCAAACGTTAAAGCTGGATCTTAGCCGTCATCTGCTCTTATTTTCTCACTTCACACGTACACCGTTAGAGACCTTGTTTGGAGGGTTTTGATTAGAACTCGGTTACTTACACACCCCTGGCAGAAGGAAAATCTTCTACTTGGGGAGGCTGGGCTTTTCAACTGAACGAGCAGCTCTCCAAGGCAGGGGAAATGTGACAGGCACCTAATGGTGTTGGAAGTCCCAGGCAGAATGCCCTCCTATCCCATCTCACAGATCAGAAAACTGGGAAGAGGTTTTAGTGACTTCTCCAATTAATGGCCTTGAGAGTCAGATAATTCCAGGTTTAAATTCCAAACCACATTAGTTCTGTGGCCTTGAGCAAAGTACTTAACCTCTAAACCTTGATTTTCTCATCTGTAAAACAGGGATAAGAATATCTACCTTCAACAATAGTTTTGAAAACATTTATTCAAATGAAATGTATATAAAGAACTTAGCACAGGGCCTAAAACATAAGCACTCAGCATATGATAACTCTATTGTTACCCAAGACCACAAAGATGGGATGGCAAAGGGAAGCCTAGGTCCACTTTACCTGAAAGAAATGATCGCCATCCCTTTTGGTAAACCCTATGGACCTAGATTTTGTCTATACATGTAACTAGCTCTTTCACCACAAGAAAGAGGAAAAAAAGAATGCTTAGTGTGTTATAATGACAGCAGACATAGCATTTATACCCTGATAAGAAGCATCTGTATATAATATAATATGGGGCTGGGCAAAGGTAGATTAATAATAATAAATAATACCATAATAAATAATAATACAAGAATAAACTGTTCACAACTACAGACCTACTTTTATCCACACTTGTATTCTCTTAAACATATTTTCCAAAAGTTCTATTAAAACCAAAATAATGAAAATAGTACTTCCTATCCCAACATTTCTACACAATTCTATGCTCTTTAAATGCTCTAAACTGGCTATGAATTTTGAATATTTTCACCTGAATGTACTGAATTCCTATATATTGAAATTTTTTCCTATTTATTTTAATTATTGTTCAAGTACAGTTTTCTGTCTTTTACTCCCATCTCAGCCCACCCTCCCCAGTGCTCCCCACCTTCCTTCCATTTCCACTCATTAGTTTTTGTCCATGTGTCCTTTATACTTGTTCTTGTGAATCCTTCCTCTTTTCCCCTAAAATTCCCTCCCCTCTCCCCTCTGGTCCCTGTCCACCTGTTCTGTATTTCAGTGTCTTTGGTTATATTTTGCTTGCTTGTTTGTTTTGTTGTTCAGGCTCCTGTTAAAGGTGAGATCATATGGTATTTGTTTTTCATCACCTGGCTTATTTCACTCAGCATAATACTTTCCAGTTCCATCCATGCTGTTGCACAGGGTAGGAGCTCCTTCTTTCTTTCTGCTGCATAGAATTCCACTGTGTAAATGTACCATAGTTTTTTGGATCCATTCATTTACTGATGGGCACCTAGGTTGCTTCCGACTCTTGGCTATTGTAAATTGTGCTGCTATGAATATTGGGGTGCACAGGTTCTTCTGGATTGGTGTTTCAGGGTTCTTAGGATATAATCCTAGCAGTGGAATTACTGGCTCAAATGGCAGATTCATTTTTACTTTTCTGAGAAAATTCCATACTGTTTTCCATAGTGGTTGTACCAGTCTGCAATCCCATCAACAGTGAACTAGGGTCCCATTTTCCCCACAACCTCTTCAACACTTGTTTTTTGTTGCTTTGTTTTATGATGGCCATTCTCACCGATGTGAAGTGGTATCTCATTGTGATTGAATTTCTTGAATTCCTATGTATTGTACACATGGTTTTAATAATTATCAATTCATGGACACTCTTGTTTCATCTATAGTCTCACTACTCCTCTGGCCCCCAAACTAAATCATTTGGAAGAAAATACATCACATCATTCATTGTGTACATATATCCGTATGAATAGAAAATATATTATTAAAATGTAATCAGCTTGACAGGAGGGGAAATGGTGAAGAAATAATTCTAAATTTCTCAGAGAGTAGTCAGCTGAGTACTTTGGAAACAAGGCACCTACTGTGCTTTTCCCACTTCCCAGATACCCCTAGACATCCAGAACCTTCCCTCAAACCCTAAGATGGCCTTGTTTCTCTTGCTCTCAGCTGGGCAGTCAACTAAACTTCCTCAGAGGTGTCCACTGATAACTCAGGTGTCCTCTGAGAGGCTTAAAATGAACCTCTCCAAAGCTGACAAGCGTTGAAGACCCAAAGCACACCCGGTAGATTGGGCTGATCTGCGAGAGAAGTCATCTACTCTGCCTCTCAATGGGCCTTGGGACCAAATATGAGGAGAGAAACACCTGGGTGTCCAAGTGGACAGTTGATTCACCACACAGTGCTATTAAGATGAAAATCCCACATAATAAAAATTTCCTGCCCTGGCTGGTGTGGCTCAATGGATTGAGTGAATCAAAGGGTCACCAGTTCAATTCCCAGTCTAGGGCACATGCCTGGGTTGTCAGCTAGGTCCCCAGTAGAGGTGTGCAAGAGGCAACCACACATTGATGTTTCTCTCACTCTCTTTCTCCCGCCCTTCGCCTCTCTAAAAAATGAATAAATAAAGTATTTTAAAAAGTAAAATAAGGTTTTTAAAAATCTGTTTAAAAAAGAAAATTTCCTGCTGTAAATCCCCCAGGTGCCTGCCAAGGTTGGCACACCGCCTCTCTCAGAGAAGACAATACGGTCATTTTTTCCTCCAACACTGATACACACTTTTGTTCACTAGACTAGGTATCAATCAGACCAGTCAGCCTGAGTTTAGAAAAAATAACACGTATCTTTAAATGCTTAGTGCAGCAAGGTGTGTTCTGTGTGACAGAGAGACAGGAACAAAATGCCTGGCGAGCAGGCAGACTCACAGAGACTAGGCGTGGGCTCAGGAAGTGCAGGTAGAATGCATTCGCTCCTGCTTAAATTCTCTCTCTCACTCTCTCCCTGCCACCTCCCAGTCCGCTGTTAGTCACTTGTTAGTGAGCTGCACACAGGACGGACTCCACTGTGTACTCCAGCATTGCTTACTGGAAGTGTCTCAGCCAGAAAAACCCATACCACAATGGTTTCACAACTGCCTGCCTGCTAGGTTTTCCCACCACCCCAGCACTCAAGAAGGGAATGAGTAAGTGCCATGCCAACGTCAAAAAACTGCTAGAACCCGTTCGCCAGGAAGATCCGTATTAGACTGAACAAATCATGATAAAAAATCTTGTGTTAGTACAACTGCCTCATTCACTGTTTGGATGTCTTCAAAATTCAGCAAGTATTACAGTTCTATTTAAAACAAAGCTCTTGATTTTCCCATCAACCTGTTCTCCTCCAAAAACCTGCTGTATCCTGCAAAAACGCTGCCTCTTTCCCCTCCTTGTCTTCCGCAGCTCAGTAAACAATATCCCAGTAACCCACGTCACAGAGCCATCCTTGACCTTCCAGTTCCTCCCACTCCCACATCCGATCCTTCCGGACAAGCCCTACTGGCAGCAAGTCCAAAACATAACCTGACTCCGCCCACCGCAGCCCACCTCCAACGGGCGCACTCCCACCTCCCAGCCCTTGGTCTGCGGCATGGGGCCCACTGCCTGCCTGCCTCCCTCCTTCCCTGCTCCAGCACCTCAAAGAAGTTTCTGACCCTGATGTAAAGAAACAACCCCATCCCCCAGATGCTCCATTACTGTCCACACCGTATCCTGCTTTATTATCTTCATAGTAATTATTACTATCGGGAAAAAATCGTGTTTATTCATTATCTCCATTAGATTGCCTTCCATTAGATTAGGGTCATTTCATGAAATTTAGGTCTATAAAATCTCTATTTTTGATTTTCCCCACTTCTTGGGGCTATCAAATCAGAGGACCCCTCACCAATGCCTTGAACAGGACTTCAATAACATTTGTTGGGTAACTAAACAAATTTTTATTTTATCATTATCTTCAGTGTTCAATTAGAAAACAAAAATACCTGACTGAATCTCTTGGCATTTTCCAGAATTTTTCTCTCCTCCTTCAGACAATTACAGATGATCATAGACATCTGTATGGGGTCTTCTTGGAAATTATCCTATATATGGGTTGTTAGAACAAAACCAAATTACATGTCAGAAAGTTTAAACCATTACATATTATAAATTGAAATGAACTTGTTCATATTTACTGAGAAACTTCATCTCACATTTATTAAATTCTACCTGTTATTTTTGGTAAAATCAAAATATTCTTTTCACAAATTATGACCAAAACAGCTCTAACTGTCCAATTAAGTACAGGTACCTGAATTACTTCTTGATTTTAAAACCAATCATTTTTATATGTGGTTTCTATAGTATTTTTTTCTTTAGTTCCTATTGTTCTTGAGTCCAATTATCTTTTGTTAGGATCCTGAGTCCACACAAATGATATAACACTTATCCATGATATTTCTCAATTAACTTAACTTCTAGTCTCTTCTTTGGACTAGACCAAAGATATTCTCAGTTTTTCTGTGTTCTGGCAAAACCTAGTTTGCAAAATACTGGCAATCATGGCTTTTATAACAGGGATATTCAAGCAAAGTCTACAGGAGAACAGATTTTGGTAAAGTTAGTCTGACTTTCCCATTGATTGGTGTTATAAAATCCTAGATACCTTCACAGAGAAAAAAAACAAGCCTCTAATTCCTAACTCGAATAGTTTGGTTGTATTGTATGAAACAAAACCACCATGTTCACCTCCATTAAAACAGGAAAGTTCCATTAATACTGAAATAAATGTGCTAGCCAGACTTAAAGAACACTGGAAGTACTTCTGAAGTAATCCCAAAACTTTGTGGCACATTCTTTCCTGCCTGGAACTCCCTTTGACTTTCCTCCGCAACTCCACCAGACGCAAGGCAAGGAGGGGGGGATTGGCAGGGTGGGGTGGCAGGTTCTCATTCCAAGTCACCAATGCACTATTGGGCTTTAGGGATGTCAAAGCTTTCTGGACTTATTCTCCATCGGTACACCAAAGACTTAGGCTGGACTCATCACTAAAGTTTCTTCGAGCTTTGACATGTTACTACAGCTCACTGCTCTTAAAATGTAACCCGTTTTCTTCGTTGTAAATATCGACAACTTTTAGTAAAACAAGTTTATAACATCACATTTTCCTCCGGATTACTGATGCCTAAGAAGTGATCCACTTGAACCTAAAAATCCCTTATGTGTTCACAACATGAACTGACACTTTATTTATGTTATAAAATATTCGCCACATAAAGGGAGTTTATTTACAATCTCTAACTTGTCTAAATATCAGTGAGTGTGTGCTCAATACTATTTGCTGAATAAAAAAATTCTCTTATGTAAACAAGGGAACATTCCAACTAAAACACAAAAAACCAGGTCATACCTGCAGATTACGCTTGCTTTTCCTTATGTTATGCTGCAACAAAAAGTTATTTTCCAAAGAAAAGCGACTGTACTGATCGTCCAGCTGCGATAGGAGGTCATGGAAACGGATAGTAGCAAATGAAACGTCATAGGCAGCATGTTCCCTAGATTTAAAATTTACACATTTTATTTTTTTAACTTTATTTTTATGTTGTCACTGTTACAGATGTGCCCCTTTCCCCCACCTTTGCCCACCTCCACCCAGTCTCCACAGCTCCTTTCTTTCTGGCCATCACCACACTGAGGCCTGTGTCTGGGGATCATGCATATACGTTCTTTGGCTAATCTCTTCATCTTTGTAGGTACTATTTTAAACAGATGAAATAATCACTGTTTTTCATGCTGAAATTATTAAAAGTAATTTCAAGTGTTTTCTTAGATTTTATTTCCTTCTTTTGAAATTGACATTGTTTTTAGCAGCAGTCTGTACAATATTTCTATTACATACAGTTGCATAAAAAATTCTAGAATGCCAAGGCTGTGCACACAACTGTTAATGGTGATTATCTCTGGAAGGGAAATATCAATAGGGGACTTCGTGTTTTATGTGAAATACTTTCAGAACATTAAAAATATTGCAATTAGCAAACAATTAATTTAAAATAGGACATATACCAGTTTTAAGAGCTAGTCCCCGAATATTATTAACTCTTCATCTTTCTAATCAATATTTTATCATAACTTAGCTTTAATATTTCTTTTAACTTATTTCTTTCTATTGCCTAGATCCTAACTGGAAAAATAATTGGTGTCAGCATTATCTAACTTATCCAAAGAGTATGTATCATAATTAAATCAACAAAAGTACATAAAAGGGCTTAATGACTAATGTGTTTGGCTTTGTAGAGACACATGCCATTTTTTAAATCAACACTCTTTTCTGTAACAGATAATCCCAATGGCCACTGATGAGATTCATCTAATCAATGTGTCTCCAAGTCACTTAATCAACAAGCTATTTTAAAAGCATAGAAAACCTTCAGCCTCTGTCCAGTGAGTTTTCCTTACCAGTCTTGCTTTTCTAGCCACTGTGCCAGGTACTGTCTGATTTCCATGGGAAAACAGTCATCATAGAGCTGGTGAACCTGCTCCAGGAATTTGGGGTCAAGCTGCTGAAGTTCATACCACTGGGCCATCCTGTGGGAAAACAGAGCAGAGATCACTAGTAGAAATCCACAGCTCCAAAGAAGGCATATTTAGCACTGCACTTCTTTTAAATACCTTGCTTAATCCAAAACATAATTTGTTTCTGAACTGTAGAGTTTAAATAGTGTCTATAATCTAATGCCTGTTTTTTTTTTATTGAGTTTTGGGGTCAATATTTTTTTCTTTCCCAAGAAACACATCTTCAGGTCTTTGCTTAAAATCAGCTTATCATGGAAGCCTTTTCTGGCTACCTTATTTAAACAGACACCACCTCTCACCTGGAAAATGCTAACCCTCTTCCTGATGCATTTTTCTCCATAGCATTTACCACTATCTAGCCTGCCACATATTTTCTTTTATATTCTGATTACTGTCTGTTTTCCTCACATGAAAAAAAGGATTTTTGGGGGCGGGGGTGTTGTTCACTGCTATATCTCCAGAACAGTGTTCAATAAATATGTCTTTAAAATGAATCTGTACTTCTTATCAAGCAAATAAATGGAAAACACTATTTAATTAATTTACTTTAGGATAAAAAGAACTCTCCCAAAATTGCTCTCTTACAAATTATAGTACATTTGTAAATTTAACTCCAAAATTTTTAAACTAGTACTTTTTTACGATTCATAGGGTAAAATGAATTATTTTTGTCATATACCTTTTAAAAGAGATCATTTCTTCTTTGCCAACTGTAAATAATAAATCTGGTACAAAAAAGTCTTAAATTTCAGTAATAACTTTTAAAGATTGAAACAGCTTGGTTAAACGTAATTTGAAAGGATAAAGTAATACAATCTCTTTCGATAATTGTAAGTCAATTTTTACATAGCAATTCTAAAGTTTTAAAATTAAAACAGAAACATAATTTAAGGAGGTCCTAACATCCATTAGGAAAACTAAGCACCTCCCCTCACTATGGCGTAATTTCAGATTTACATTAGGCACATCTGACAATATTAAGAGTGGAGATAAGTGAATGTTGTCCCATCAAAACCTCTGAGGAAGGAGTGGGGAGTTTCAAGTAGGGCTTGTAAGAATGTCTGGACACTTGCTGGTGAGCACAGACGGGCATAATGAAGTCACATCTCTACAGATTTACTTCCCACGGAAGATAAACATGTGGTGGGAATACAAAGCAAGTTCCCATCAGAAATTCCAGTAGAAATGGAACCAAGCCCATTGTTTTGGTACTTTCTGTAGCAATTTGATTTTCACTTCAACTTTATTGTATGTGAGTGGAAGGAAGACTCTAAATCTGTGGTGTCTAATAACGATGTGCCTAAAGCAAACGGATGCCAGAGGAGGCTGCAATAGCTCTGTTAGGCAAGTGACCTCGAGCGACTCACTTTCCCAATCAACAGGTTAGGACTGGGTGAAGTAGTTCTTGCGCAGCACCTGGCACAGAGCAGGCAATACATAAATTCACACTAACAAAACTAGAATCAATCTTATTTTTTAATTAAGGCACTCACTCTTTACAAAAATTTTTTTAAATTTATTCATCTTTAGAAGGGAAGGGAAGGAGAGAGGGAGAGAAATATCAACGTGTGGTTGCTTCTCATGCAGCCCCTGCCGGGAACTGGCCTGCAACCCAAGCACGTGCCCTGACAGGGAATCGAACCGTGATCTTTTGGTTTGCAGGCCCAAGCTCAATCCACTAAGCTACACCAGCCAGGGCTCAATCTTAATTTCTTACAAAACGTATTACTAACATAGGGATTGGTATGACTGTCTTCTGGTTACTTAGCTAAAATCTCAACTTTCAGGCTGCCTCCTTCCTCTCTATCCCAAAATTTCCTACCTCCCTGCCTCCAATACTATCACCAATCCAGCCTTCTGCTGCACTCAGGTTGGATCACATCACTCTTTCGCTCAAAACTGCTACGGTTTGCCCTTCCTATGCTGATTTCCATGCTGATCTATTTTGTTCTGTTAACAAAGCGACCCCATCACCAAATTATCTCTGGGGTTTTGGCTAAACCCAACATTTCTGCCTTGCTCCAACTGTCTGAAAATAGTCTCCCCCCAATTTCTGCCTAAGTCCTACCAGTACTTAAAGGTAGGTTCAAATGCCCCGTCTTCTATAAAGCTGCCTGACCCTTACAAGAGACAATTGAGCTTTCCTTCACTTGTACCTCATTGCATTTTGTACCTCTATCAGAACATCAGTCCGTCTTCCTTATAAGCTCTGTAATGTCTACCTTGGATGCTATAAGCTCGAGAGTTACAGGGGCTATACCTTTTAAAAAAATCCTCTGCGCCTTGGACAATGTCCTGCACATATAATGCACTAAATAATAGTTTGTTGAATTGAAAATCTAGCATATGTCAGCCCTGACTGGTGTGGCACAATGTGTTGGTCGTTGTCCCACAAACCAAATGGTCCCTGATTGAATTCCTGGTCTTGGCACATGCCTGGGTTGACAGCTAGGTCTGAGGTTGGGGACTGGCAAGAGGCAACCAATCCATGATTCTTTCATACATTGATTTTTTTCTCTCTCTCTCTTTCTGTGTCCCTTCCTCTCCCTCTAAAAATAAATAAATAAAATCTTTTTTTAAAGTATATTGCAGATTGCAATAGAAAGTAAAGGTCAAACCACGTTATGGTCCAACAAGTTTGAGTCCTGCAGCTTCATTAAACAATGGGTGCATACTGGCTTATGCTGAATGCTCGAAGTCTAATTTCTACCCCATAAAAACAAAGTCTCCTCCATCCTATGCAAAAAACATTCAAAGAGCAATCAACCACAACCTATGCATCTCCCGAAACTCTCCAGTAGTGGTCAGAAAAGTTTTATTAAGACTAATTGTATCATTGGGGCTGGAGGGCTGGGGAGGGTGCAGAAAGGAAATATCACTTTTATATTCTAGGAAGACATTAAGCTCCTTCATTTTTAAACGTAGATACATATTATAGTTCCAAAGTCACGTAATCATTCATTTATTTCCATGAACATTCACTGACCTGCCGTTACCTTATGCCCCAGCAAGGAGCTGGGGATTCAACCTAAACAACAGCTACACACAGCACCTTAGGTGTCAAGACTATTGGGTGCGCGTGCACAGGACCCTAACTCTAACCTACAAGGTTCTCCAGGGGTGTACCACGGCAAATAAAAGCTTTCTGCCCAAATTAGAAAACGTGACCATAGTGGAAAGGGGCGGGAAGGAGGGAATCGTGAGAGTAAATGGGGAGTTGCAGTGTTTTCTAGGGGATAATTGTATTTCACAAGATATCTTTACTGCCAGAGCACGACTAGCAGGAGCAACCGTGCCATCACTGAGAAGAGCACCTGGGATACTGGGATACTCTGGGAATGTTCTTTCCGGGATTACAGATTAACCTGACAGCACAGCAAAGCCCGTGTTCGCAGGGTGTACGCGGCCCAGCCCCAGTGGCGCTGACCTGGCCCATCCCACCCTGGCACCAGGAACCTCAGGCTCACTCACTCTGCGCGCTGCGTGGAGCAGGTAAAGGCGAAGGCGCGGTGGTGCTACCAATTCCGGGCGCACCAGGTTGCCTGTGCTAGGTCAGCGGCCTGAAGGATGTTGCTCGGGGTGCGTCGGCACCTCTCCGCAGACTGGAAGCAGGAAAACGAAACCATCAGCAGGAAGAAAAAGTTTGCCGACAGCCCCGCCTCCTCCACCTCCACCAATCACCGCTCCAGCACTCAGCCAATCGAACGTGGCTGTTCCGCAGCTGCACTGCCTCCCCCTCCGGAGCCACTGACCGGCCAATCCTCTGAGTCCTCCCGTAGCCTTGTCGCAGGAACCCCGCGTGAGTGAGGTGTGGCTCAGCTCTGAATTGCAACCGGCTGACGTACAGTAGCGTTTACACTGTCTAGAGAGCAACTGAGAAGGAAGTTCTGTGTTTGCAGAGGCCCAAAGAGAGATCCCGGCATTAGTACTCCATATCTGAGAACCCGAGGCTGAGGACATTGTAATTCTAGAAGCTCAGTTTAGCAGCCGGCCTGCAGGTAGCTACACCAAGTGGATGTTTTTCTTGTCCTCACCTACTGGAATGTTCAGAAACCTGCACAGTCGATGCCTCCAGTATTTAATACTTGTTTCTTGGCCATAATGACAACACATTTCTCTTTGCTTCTTCCTACCTCTCAGACATTCTTTCTCCACCTCTGCTCCATCTGTACTGTCCAACCGTTCAGGGTCCATATCTCGGTTAGCTTTACCAGCACTTCTCCTCATGCTATCCTGTGATGACCTCACCCACAGCTTCCCAATTTTCTTCTAGGTGTGGAAGGCTTCTATATGTGTATCCTGTTCACATCTCTCCTCGAGCTCCGAACCCACGTATACAACCCCCAAGTTTACTTGGATATCTGGTAAGGTCTGCAAGCTAGCTATGTTTAGAACTACCTCTACATCTTTCTCCTCAAACCTGCCCTTTTTATATAAATGGCACAGGTTGGATAGCTAGGGGTCATTGTTTGGCATTGCCTTCTCCCTCATGTGGCACATTCTGTCCTGTTTGGTTCTTTCTTCTAAATATTTCTCAAGTTTTACCACTTCTCTCCATCGCTTATGCCATCTCCCCTTTTCTCTCATTTGAATGATTGTGATAGATTTCCAAATAGCGGCAACTCAGCTTTTTACTTTATTTTAATCCATACTTCCTATAGCAGTTTGAGTGATTTTTAAAAAATCCTGGCCTGAGGATATGTTTATTGACTTTAGAGAGAGAGGAAAGGGGTCAAAGGAGGAAAGAGACAGACAGACATTGATGTGATAGAAACATCAATAGGTTGCCTCCCATATGCTCCTGGACCAGGCATAGAATCTGCAGGCTAAGTATGTGCCCTAACTGGAGACTGAATCTGCAGTTTTTTGGTGTATGGGACAACACTCAATCAACTGAGCCACCAGGCCAGAGCTGCAAGGATTTTTTTTTTAACTTTGTAATTGCAACTACATCCTTTGTTTGTCAACCTAAATCCTCTGATGATTTTCTCATAAAATCCAAATTTCTTAATATACCTTACATAGCAAAGTCCTGGTTTCCCTATCATTTTCTCTGACCCTATCTTGTGCCACTCTTTTCTTTCCTTACTTCAGCATTTTGTTCTTGAAATACACCAAGCTCTTTCCCCAAACCAAGGGCCCTCTCACCAGCAGTTCTCCATTTGGAAAGCCCCTTGAGTCATAGTTCCCCTCCCCCAGCTTCTTGACTGGCTAACTTATCTTTTATTCTCAGCTAAAGGCTCAGCTTAAATGCCACTTCCCCTGATAGGTATCCCTTGAGGCCGAACTCAATTAGATCTTCTTGGAGTGTATGCCCATAAAGTCAATTGTTTCCTTTCAGATAGATGGAATTTAAATCAGACCTTGAATAATAAGGCAACTTGGGTAGGTAAAGGATCAAATAATTTCCCAGGGATCTGCTTATATGTGTACCTATTACAGGTCTTTTCCCTCTCTTCTCAAATCTACATACTCCTTCTTGTAACATATTTAACCTCACAAAGCCAGTACTGAGCTGGTGATAGTAATGACCCTTGGTACCAAAGTAGCAGCCTTCTGTGAAAAAGCGATGCTAGGCTATCAAAAAGAGCCTTTCTCCTCCTACTCACCTGCACTAAAGGCCCAGACAATGTTTGAGAAAAGGTGACCCCAGGAAGGGTAGGTAATATGTTCAAAATAATTTTTCTGGTACTGTAAAACCTGCACAGAGATTAGCTGCAATATTGATGGGTGAACTAAATAATATTAACATCTGCAAACGGGTTACCTCTCTTTGGCTTTCCACATTCTGATTGTCATCAACTTCTGTGGATGCTTGCTTCCCTATGCCTTTATCCTCCTTGGTTCTACCATCACTGACAATACCCTATTATAGGCCTTCATCACCTGAGAACTGGAACGCTGCAATAAACGCCAGATGGACTACCTACTTCCTGTCCCTTTCCATTCCATTATATTTTCCAAATTAAATTCTCTAAAACACCACATTTACAGTCATTTCCTGCTCAAAAGCCTTGACGGCTCTCATTGCACTTATAATGACTACAAACTGTCTGCTAGTCTGGATCCTCCACAGAATGTCCCTACCTTTCTTTCCAGACTTATCTCCCATTGTCCCATTACCCAACTAAGCTCTATCCCCTGCTCTCCCCTCATGCTTTTAATTTTCCTGTTCCTGCACCTTTGCCCAAAGTACTGGCAAGTATTGCACATACTAAATGACAAGTCCTTACTCCCCTTGCTTATTAAATCCCTACCCAACTCTAAAAACTAAGCCTAAAAGCCTAAATCCTACATTCTCCTTCTGGTACCACCTCAACCTGTAGTGATCAACCTGGTCTCTGAAATAATATGATACATAAGTGTCTCTGCGCTGACAGCCATTACATACTCCTTTATATTGTGGTTTCTAAAGTGTCTAAGTCATATATCTCCAAGATTCTAAGTTCTTAGAGGGTAAACTATATTTCTTATTAAGTAAGTTGACTCTTTAACATACTGACTGCTTAAAAAGCAATCAAATTAAAAAACAAATTAGAAATTTAAACTAAAAAACTAGAGATCCAGAAATGACAGAGCCAAATATGGCCCCCTTCAAAGAGTCAGCTTCAGAAGCTATATCTCTACACCGAATGTGTCAACATTGCAAAAGGCATACACGGATCAAGGAAAAATACTGGAGGCGGATCCCCAAAATACTGGAATTATCTTTTAGAGACAGGCCCCTTGTAGTACAGGCTTCCTCCAGGAGGTCAGTGTTCTAGGAACCCATCTATGTCAGTGTACCAGTTGGTGTTGGTGCGAGAGGCTGTGTTCAACTTCAAGGAATTTTTCTGAAGGCTCTTTCAACTCATTTTTTCCCATTTCATGATGGGTGATTTGTGGGTGCACCTGCCTACCCCACACTGAGTGTTCAAGCAGTTTTTGACCAAAAGTGTCATGACCCCCCATTTCCCACCCTCCCTATTCACCTGATCTCACCCCAAGCAACTTTTTTTTGTTCCCCAGATTAAAAAAAAAGTCCCCCAAGCATTTTGCCGACATGGAAGAGGTAAAACAAAAAAAATGGCAGAAGTGCTGGAAAGCATCAAAGTCAACAAATTAAAAAACTATTTTGAGCAGTGGGAAAAAAACATCGTGATATGTGTATTGCATCAAATGGAGAGTGCTTTGAAGGTGACTGAAGTTTAAACATGAAAGAATAAATACACAATTTAATAAATTCCACTTTTGGCCCCCCACCTCATACCTTATACCATGTCTTGTAGAGTGTTTTATTTTTCAAATTTTTTCTTTCCCTCTCACTCCTTGACATGGTTTACTAGGAGTGGAGTGTGCCTCCCTTTGCACTGAATGGCCGTGGCTGTGTGACTTGCTCTGACTAAATGAATATGAGCAGATGTGATACACCCTCCAGCCTGAGACTTTGTACTGAGTGACCAACTTGTTTTTGTGTGCTTCTTCCCTGCACTAGGATATGGCAGCCTCAGGCAGCTGCTGCTCCTCCAGCCAGAGCCCTGGATGAAGAGATGTGTGGAGCCCCCTGAACCTGCCACTTAGAACAAAACTGCTGCAGCCCATCCGTGCAGACATAAGTGAGATGGTGAGACGTGTTTGCTTGTCACTGTTGGAAATCTCTGTGACCTCTTTATTTTGGCACTGAGATAGCTGACCAATTAATTAATGGACAACAGAATCAAAATTCTAAATTACCTTAACAGGCTAGAATCCCTCTGGGCTGAAACCAACTGGATACAACTTATGGTTGCAAAGATCTGTATTTGGGTTAAAAAAAAAGTAGCAAATGACTCAGTACTCTTTGCTGCCAGTGCCCACCTTCCGAACTTATAGTTCTCAGCACCGCATCTAGTTGATCACTAGCAATCAATGGGAAATGGCAGGTAAGATGAAACCATTTGCCATGCCTCAACTGGTATACAGTCAAAGGAGAGTCAAGGATCATGATGAGTTAGAAGCCACATTTTATGATGAGTAATTGAAGGCACTAGAGTAACTCATAAATTCACATGATGTTACAGTGGAAAGACGATCAGAAACCATGCCATCCCTCCCACTTGGAGCAAATTTATTTTTGCTTGAAGAAGACAGTGTCATTCCTATTCTTCATTTATCTCTTCTTTTATTACCAGTTACCCAATTGTATCTATGTTATTATATTCACAGTCACTAGAAACATAAATATAAAGAATACAATGCCCCCTACAAGCCAAGGCAAAAAAGAGCAATATTATCAGTTACACATTCTCATGAAAAGAAATGAGAAAGGATCTCCTGGAAGATTGTTTTCAATAATGACCCCATTATTCCTTTTCCTGTATCCACACCCCTTTGCAATTCTACTTTGCAGTTCCTTCCAGCAAGAAGTGGAGGATATTCTTCACTCCTTGAATCTGGGCTGGCTTGTGAGATGCTTTAACCACTATTATACAACAGTTGTGACTTTGTCATTCTGAGCCTAGGCTTCGAGGGGCCTTATGTATTCCACTCCCAGAACTCTATGCTGTCTCCATGGCATGTCCGACCAGCCTGCTATAGGACTATTCTGCATACTGACCATAATTGAGCCCCAAAACTGTCGGGATTTAGGCCTCAGGCCTGGGAAAGAGCCTCAGCAAGATCAGGGGGCCTGACCACAATAAGCAGAACTGTCTAGCCTACCGAAGACTCCCGAGCAATGATAAACGCTTGTTGTTTTGCCCCTCTGAGTTACTGGGGTGGTTTGGTTGTTATAAATGACTAGTATAGATTTTATTGGGGAAGCAAAGCATCCCACCATCGAATTCTAAAACAAAATTGCCCACTGCAAGCCCACAGCCATTAACCCACCACAGATATTTTCTGTAGGGGTCTCCATCCCCCAGTAGTTCGCTATCCAGTGTGTCCTTACCACACACCTGTGATAGACACTAGGTCTGCCTTCTGTCTTCATGGCCTTGGTCTATTTCAAAGCAGCAGCTACAAATCTGATTGAAAAAAACCTATAGTAATATATATTTTAAAACTTCCCACCCCCTCCCAGAAACCATATTGCATTTTAGACATACTTTTTTTCTGATGTTGATAGCAATGCTGGTAACCTAAATATCTAATAGTAGGAATTACACTTCATCAGCGTAAGCCATATTTGTTAATCTGTAATATAATGGAATTGAAACAAAGGATTTCTAAAATTCCCTGCAGTTTTCTGGATTTCTGATTCTCATGATAAAATATCAAAAGTATGCTTTTAAAGACTATTTAATTACATTGGAAAATACCCAAGTATAAATTTAACTAAAATGCAGGATAGAAAATGTAGTATTATTCCAGTACTGCAAAAATATATAGAAATGTAAATACAGGAAAACACAGAAAGAGGACAAGAAAGAAAAATATTTTAAAATGTAATTGTTTCTGGTGATGGATTACTTCTTTGTAATTTTCCTTTAAAAAAATGTCTATGAGCACTATTACATTTGTAGTACAAACACCCTCATAAACACTTCAAATCCTGTGCTTTCCGGAGAACAGCCAATGCCTGCCCAGAACGAGCTGCGCTGGGGCAGGTGGCAGTGTCGGGGTCTTGGAAAACTTCCCAAAACAGCCGGGCCGGCGTGCAGCGGGAGGGACCTAGATGCTCAGAAGAGCCGCCCCACGTGCTTTCTGGGAAACCGCCGGGGAGCAAGAAGGACCAGGCTTGAGAGGAAATCGAAAAGCGAAAGTCAGAAACTGAGCCAGCAGTCTGCCGGCGCGGGGCTTTCCGGCTGAGTGCGGGCTGGCCTGCGGTTCTCTCCCGCAGCCTCCGGCGGGCAGGAAACACACTCTGCGTCCGAGACGGCCCGCGGTAGCCCAACGCGGCCTCTCTGCTGGGTCGAATCTGAGAGTAGTGGTCCTTGGGCAAAATAAAAGGCTGAGGCAGGGTGGATGCCCTTAACTTTAGGGGGTGGAGGTGCCCCCTAAATCGCTTAAGCTGCTAGGAAACTCACCCATCCCACTTCCCCCTTTTCTTCCTTCCCTTGGCCTGGAATCGTCGCCTTTTCTTAACCTCACTTCTCTAGGTACACAATTTGCATTCGTGCTTACTCACATCTTACTGGTCTTTCAAGCTCTGACCCTCATCCAACTGGGATTCCTGACCTTAAACCAGGGATGAAGGTGGGGGCTTGGCTGTTTTTTTTTTTTCCAGCTGTCCTTTTTGTTAGATCTGAGAAGGGGGCTTTTCTCTCTCCTGGGGTCTTTTCATCCAGAGAAGGCCCCTCTCCTCTTCCCTTATGGTGATTAAACCAGAATGGATCGGGGAGAAGTAGAATGGAGGAGAATAATTTCATCAATAGATTATGACTTCAAAAGTTTCGCAGGCCCAGGAAAAAGTTGAACTTTTTCTGTGAAAAGGTTCTAAATGTAAGGCATTTATTAATGCCTTCGATCTACATTACTTATGGAATGCTTCCAGGAGGCACTGACCTAATTTCTTAGGGCTTTGTTCAACTACTCTTCAATGGCCCTACTTAGTTTCGGTGACCTAGGACCAATCTCGGGACCAATCTAGTGCCTCCAATGTGTGAGGAGACCCACCCTGGGGAGCCACCCCTGCTCACCTCTCCTGAGAGTGAGCACCAGTCCCCGCGGCTGCACACAGAGACACGCTGGCGAGGGCACTTTCCATAATTCCCACGACACAGATGGATGTTTACCTTCTCCAGTTACAAGGAGAGGACAGGATGGGCTAGATGATTTCCAGCACAAAATGAAAATGTGGGGCCCCTTTTTTCAGCATTTATGAAGAATTTCGAGAAGGCCCTGACTGGTGAGGCTCAGTTGGTTGAGCCTTGTCCCACAAAACGAAAGGGTCCCACTTTGATTTCCAGTTAGGGCTCTTGCCTGGTTGCAGTTTGGTCTGTCTGGCGCTGGGCACATGTGAGAGGCAACTGATCATTGTTTCTCACCTCAATGTTTCTCCCCCTTTCTTCCTCCCTCCCTTTCTCCTTGCTAAAAGTAAATTAGTAAAATCTTTAAAAAATGAAAATAATTCCAAGAAGGCAACAGTGAAGCATTAAAACAAGCATGGGCCCTTCTGAGTGCTTGGCCCTGTGCAACTGTGTAGGTTGCACACCCCTTAAGTCCTAGTACGGGAATCTGGGGAGGAAGATTTCTCCTGTAGAAACACTGTTATGTGTTTACTTAAAACAAATGAAAACTTAGATACAATGAAGAAACAGGTTATAACACCACCTCTTCCTGTAGCACCTGGAATAACATATAGAGTCTTCAGCTTTCCTACATGTTGGGGCCTTGCCTCCCTTCTTACCCATCTCGTCCCACTGTCTTCATGCATCACTATGCTGTCCTCCCCAGGACCTCTTCCTGCTCCTCAAGTAACCCAGGCTTTTACCTGCCTAGGTCCTACGTGTACCATGCTTTGGGGATGCAGTTTTCCTGGCTGTGTTCATGGATTGGCTCCTCATTCTTTAGATCCTCAGCTCAAAGATCCTCACAGAGAGACCTTCATTTACCCCTTTGTCCAGTTACTTGATATCACATTTCTATTCTTTTTAGCACTTACTAAATCTGTCCTTTATTATATGCTTTTCTGTTTTTCTCTTCCCTTATAGAAAGAGAGACTTTGTGCTGTTATAGCCTATCTCACCTTGGTTCCCAGAGGATATTAAGCCCAGTGCCCCGAGGTATCTGTGTTTGAATTACCTTCTCTCCTGTACATCTAGAATGACACTATGTACCATCCTTGGGGGACTGGGAAAACAGTTAAGCAAATTGCTATCTGTGTCTGTGCTTCAGATGGGAAACCCTTGTTGAGAAAGGCAATATGTGATATACAGAGCAGTTCTCAACAGTTTTCGAGTGAGTGAATAACATCATTGAGCCACTGGGATCAGGAATCACAGGTTAATTCAGTTATTTAGACCTGAGTGCTTGCATGAGGCCTCTGGAGCTAGAATTGAGGGGGAGGAGAATAAAGAGCATTTGTGTTCTAAAAAACTCCCTAAAGGATTTTAATGAGAGCACCATTCTTCCACCACCTTTAACCTCTTTCCCTCTCCACCCTGCCTAGATGTCCTTTAAGAGTCTTCCCGTCAGAGGCAGTTGGTGAGACGTCTAAGTGGCTGACTGGCAAACCTAATGTAAGAGAGTGTCGTGTAGCATTTTTATGAGGGGCAGGAGTAGCAAAGCATCATTTAATGAGAAGGAGTTAAAGGAAAATTTCAGGAACACTTCACTGGGCAGATTTCGGGATGTTTGGCATATATGAGGTACCTAAATTAAAGGAAAGCTAGAGTAAAATAATAAATGTTATCATCCCAGAGAATTTCTACAGAGTTTGGAAGTTAAGAGTAAGGTAAAAAGTAAAGGGGAAGTACTATGTTGTTTGAGCAGTAGCAAGCAGGTTTTGGTTATTCAGTTTGAAGTATAATATTGGGGGCCATTCCATGATTTTAGAATTTGGAGGAATTATAAAGGGAATTCTAGCTTAGTTTTGCAGGATGACCAAAAAACAAGTGAAAGAAAGGTACCAGTTATTGTCATCTATGTGTGCAAACCCAAATCACTAACAAATATTTATTAAAGGGCTGGCTGTGCTAAGAC